AGCATATAATAATAATAATAATAATAATAATAATAATAATAATAATAATAATAATAATAATAATAATAATAATAAATAATAATAATAATAATAATAATAATAATAATAATAATAATAATAATAATAATAATAATAATAATAATAATAATAATAATAATAATAATAATAATAATAATAATAATAATAATAATAATAATAATAATAATAATAATAATAATCTTTTATAGTCCATATTTTGTAATCTTTTATTAAGTTAAACCGAAAATGGAAATTCTTTTTGCCCAATTGATCGTGAGCCCGGCAGCCACTGGGGAGCGCCAGATCGACATTGCTCTATCCCTTATTGTTGAACGCCAAACAAGGTCTTTTAACGTCTTTTGATATGACGCGGCCGGGGTTCGAACCCTCGACCTCCCGGTTGTGATGCGGACGCTCTACTGACTTAGCCAACACAGGTACATGGACAGGGGCAGGGGCGGCGATCCTGGGCCCGATAGGGGGACACGTCGCCCTGGAAATTTAAAAATACAGCTAGAAAGACATATAGCGGAAAGAATTATTGGGCTTAGGGATTTTCTAGAATGCATAATTTCAGCATTCAACATTGCAAAATCTCGCTTGGTCGCTACGCCCCGGCCCTCGCCCGATAACACAAAACTATTAAATGATATGATATGATATGACGCTCCCGGCCGTGATTTATCCATGGTTGGTGTAATAGATATTTTTTTCCTTTCGTTTCTACTAACCTAATTGTGTGCTATCACAATCATTATTGCTTCATGTTCCCTTTAAAGCAGGCGTGTAGCCAAGGGCGGTAGGGGCAGTAAGAGGACATAAGACAAAAAAGGAGCAGACAAAGAAATATTTTTGAAAATTCCGAAAACGGTACAACGAATCGTCTTATTTCTCTAATAATTTAATGACACGTTAAGCTTCTGTGCTTAGCGCGGGAGGGGGAGGGGACTGAATTCAGTGAAGGATTAAAGGCAGGCTTTACTACTTCAGCCAGAAGGGGTTAGACCACCAAGCGAGCCAGCAAGGTCACTGTGACAGGTGGCTATCTCATTAACTCAGCTCTCATTTAACGTAAGAAAAAGAGGATCATGGGGGAACAAAAGACACCGATTGGGGAAGTTTTCTATATAGAGGGAGCAGGTAGCTACAAGTAGGACAGTCGAGAATGGAACAACCAATCATCTTCTTCCTCTAACAATATCATTAAACTATGGAAAGTTAAAGCTTCCGCGCTTCGCGCGGGAAGGGGGGGGGGAGGAACTGAATTCAGACAAGGATCGAGATTCGAGAATGGTACAACGAATCCTCTCCTTTCTCTAATAATTTAATGAAACGTCAAAGCTGCCGCGCTTCGCGCGGGAAGGGGAAAGACTGAATTCAAACAAGGATTAAGAGTCGAGAATGGTTCAACGAATGGTCTTCTTTCTCTAATAATTTAATAAAACTTTTGTCATGAAAGAGGCTTTAGCCCCTCCCCCCCCCCCCCCGATGAAAATGTCAAAAATTGTACCGGTATGGTGCTTCTGATATGACCTTGTCAGTATTGGTATGTTGAGTTGTAAAAATGGTCTGCACACTTTCCAAATTTCCGGCCCCCCCTATTGGAAAATCCTGGATCCGCGCCTGCCTCTGGAGCGGTCCAGTGGATAGGTCTAGTGTAGATCGGTCCAGCAAAGTGAGTGAGAATGGGGTCTTAGTCTTAAATATTTTGTAGTATATCCCCCCCCCCCCCATTTACCTAGAAATCATCCAGTCAGAGGTGATTCTTAAGGCCCAAAACATTTTCTATGCCTGTGTGTGCATTCCAAAAAATGTTTTTGCCTCTAGTCCTCATCTTATACAGCAGTTTCTATCGATAGGAACATTTCCTAGAGATTCACCTCTCTGTCTCTCTCTCCCTTCTCCTTCCTCACACACAAACACACACACACTCTCTCTCTCTGTGTTTACCTCTCCTCTCCCCCTCCCTATTCCCCCATCCACCAATCAATACCCATTATCCTTTCCCCTCTAGCTCCGGTATTAGACATCATCTCTCTCCTCCCTACCCCTATCTCCCTCCTTACCCTTCTCTCCCATCCTCCAATCAAAACCCCTCATCATTCCCCTCTACCCAACATCTCTCTTCTTTCGCTCTCTCTTTCTCTCCCTACCATCTCTCCTCTCCTCCCTCACAGTCCCCAGTACCCATCAATACACCTCATCCTTTCCCCTATAGAGTGGTGAAGTGTGACGTCATCAAAAATCTATTTTCAGAACTTCTCAATTTTTTCTTCATATTCTGAAAGAACATCAAAAATAGTGTCTAAATGTCGAAAAACAATTGAATATGTAAAGTATTGGCTGAGATATGACCATTTGAAAGAATATATGTCCTATGGGACCGCAGTGTTATATGCTCTGGCTCATAACCATTAGGAGTCAGAGCATATAACACTGAGTTCCTATGGGGAGTTTACTTATTCAGATGGTCATATCTCAGCCAATACTTAACATATTCAATTGGTTTTCGACATTTGGACATTATTTTGTATGTTCTTTCGGAAAATGAAGAAAAAAATTGAGAAATTCCAAAAATAGATTTTTATGACGTCACAGCTTCGGTACTCTATATCAACCATCATCTCTCTTCCTTCTCCACATGTCGAGACTATCTGGTATGTCCCGTCCGCCACGCCTTCTCCCATTCCAAACAATCATCTACATTGCTTGGTTATTATGATTGCACAAGTATCTTGTGTACTCATCCACTAACACACACGACAAGCTGTAGGCCAACTATTTCCTATCTCACTTTACTTTCTCACGTCTAAATCAATGTAATGCCTACTGTTGTGAACAACAAAAGTACAACTAAACAAAAGTACAACTAGAAACTAAACAAAATATTTATTTAATAAAGAGCACCACTTTGGCTTGTTTTCTTCTTTTGAACAAAGATATAAAAAAAATGATTGTTGTCATGATGAACAATTACTAGAAACACAACAACAACAATGAATAAGATCAACTTTTCATTTGACATTTTAAACAAATTAACATTTTTTAATGTTTACTTACACATTTATATAAGGTCTTAAAACTTCAGGAAGACAGCTGGCATACCATACCTAATGCATATCCAAGGTATATTTCACATACCCCACGCGAATGAAAAACAATATGCTACTTTATAGGTAATACAAAGTATTGGTCAAAGTTGTTGGTTAAAATGAGTATTTCTTGATACACCTAAACGTCCAAAGACAATCGAAACAATAATAAACTGTTTTGAGTTGAGACCATAGACTTTCAATACCTATTTGAGGAACAACAAAAAATCACAATCATTAGCCACTACTGGGCCCTGTCCTATAAAGGGTTAGGATTGATACAAATCAATTGTAAGTCCTCCAATCAATCGCAGGCATGCAGTCCCCTATCTCTTATGTACATAGTTGCGATTGATTTGCGATTGATATCAACTCTTTATAGACGGGGGCCCTGGACAACATCATGCCAATCATTTTTTCCAAACACTGATATTTCATACGGTGATTTTATGTGCATGATGCTAACAAAATCATACTGAGCATGGACAGCAAAACTGTTTGAACTGTAATAAGGAAAAAAAGAAAATTGTATCATACAGATCAATATGTCTATTTCATAGACATAGTGATATTGAAAGCTCTCAATACCAATCACATTTCTACTAAGTAAACTTATTGTACTTCAGGAAGGCAGTGCATCATGTCAAATTTTACATGAATTCAAATTAAAAGAAACAAATATGTATCCCAATACATATCATTACGTTAAAAAAATATTCATGTACCGTACACAAAATGTTATATCATTTAAATGATATAATTAGAGAATCACAGTACACTGTAATGGTGATTCCTTACATGCCCTTGCTCATAATTATCTTCAAAAATATTTAATTTCTGAATGTCACACACCTGTTTTTACTGAAGTTGATTTGCTCTGTACTTTGAACAATCCACTTTTTAAAGCGGTTCATTGTGATTGGTTGAGTTCAGAAGACCTAATCATGGTGAGTACTTATTGCATAATCAAGCTTATTTACCTCTTGATTTAGGTGCATTAAATGACCACCTGACAATTCAAGACGAATAGTGGAATATTCCAACATAACAAAAACAAACAAGCAAAATATCCAACTGTCTTTCAACTATATTTACACTAAACAAATTCTTGGGAAGATAAAACCAACATTTGATTACCAGTACCTTTTGCTTCTTAAGATACAACATGGACGATATCTTTTTGGCAGTGATCGTCAACTCGTTTCTTCCAGCCTCATACTCTTAGTTATAGGCAAGTACTCTAGTGGCATGAGAAATTTCATGTCTAATAACATACATCAAACTTTTTTATTTACAAGAACACAAATCTCTGAAAGCAACTGACAAATGCTTTCTACCAGCATGGCTCACTGAACAACAGAACAATAACAAAATTATAATACTGAAGAAAACATTATGCATTACATTTGGCAAATAAAATTCAGCTGCGACGAGTTTACTTTTGCAAATTTGAAACATATTAATAAAACAAAATAGATCTCTGAACTAACTATCTTTACAAGGTTTCTAAAAGCTCAGGTATCCAATCCGTTTCCAGGAGTTATCCAAGCTACAAAAGAATATTATAAAAGGCTACATTTACAACTTTAGTACCTCAGGGTGTTAGCATTTTCCATAGGTATAAAATCTCTGCTATGATTTTGGACAGATTCTACCGATCCTAAACAAAAAATGCTTATATAGCTGGTTGCAGAGTACATATGCTACACTAGTGTTATTTATATTTGTTGTGTACACAAGGCTTGGGCAAGAGAATGGGAAATAACAGCATTTGGCTTTGAAGCTCACTTACAGGGAATGAAAGTGTAATGTAAAACATAAATCTAAAGTTTACGTCACTGATATACATGTACAGCATATATTTATCATCAAGACGGAGAATGAAATCTTGTCTACGTACAGAACTATTCTATCATCGGTAATATGATACTTGACCCCAGTAATCTTCAGTTGACTTACAGGAAGCTATGGTCAATTCAGCCTTTTCACGATCTTTCTTGCAGATTATTTCTAATAAAAAAAATTGTTTTTTTAACCTATAGTCTGTCTGGATCCAAAGGGGCACCACCTCTGTGTGAAATGATACGAGTAAAAGCCCTGCCTCAAAACAGACGGATATGTTAAAAACTAGATGTCATTTGTGTGATGTAATTTTTTCTATTAGCAAATATGTTCAATTATTGTCCAACCAGCATGGACATCAGGTTAACTTACAGAAAAAATTGAAGAATGCATTAGTTTTTGTTTAAATAAAAAAAATATAAAAAATAATAAGAAATTGCACTGGCCTACCCTGCAAACCTGTAAATCCGGACACAGGATATGGACCATGTAATGTGAACACAGAGTTGATTCCACACTGATTTGGGGAACATAAAAAGGAGTAAAGATGACTTTCCATTCCTCAACACAGAAAGACCAAGTTGATAGCCAAATGGATGAATGTTGGAAGTAAAACAGCAGGGCATTGGTTTACTATCCCGTCGTGTCTTGCCTAGGAGTGCGTCTCTCTGCTGTCTGGGGAGCCTTGGTGTGCCTTGCAAAGCCAGCATTCACAAGAGCATCTCCGATGTTGACGTGTTTGGTGCTGATCGTGTCGTAGAGTTCCACATGGAGGATATCTCCATCACTAGGGGGGAAAAAATACAATAATGTTATAGTTTATGCAAACAATGCCTTTATACTGAGAAAGGAACTCAAGGACTATAATCTACATCTTCAAAAGACTCATTATTTTTTTTTCTTTTGAACTCAACAGCAAATAGCCTACAAAGTAATGTAATGACTCGTTCAAAATGTATCGTGGTAGGAGGCAGACAGTATGTTTCTTTCAAAACAAACTAAGAAAAATGATATAAATGTACTGAAAATGTTTTAAAAGAAAATACTCATTGGGAAAATATATTTTGGGCAAAATATTTACATATCCACATTATATATTGATTGATTAAAGGGATCCGGTAACTTTGTCTTAGATCCTTTAGAAATAATCCTTGATTTAGCTCATGCTGCAATGATAATTATAAACCTTTAGGTCAGTCAGGAACTCCATGACTTTTACAAGCCGATCGCCTGTCTGATTATCAAAATATTAATGATCGGAATTACAAATTTTGAAAAACATTCGCTGAACGGTTTTCATAACACTACAGTCTATTGGGGAAAACGAGTATGGTAAAACCGGTCACTCAAAGATTTTTACTTTTTTGAGGCACTTCTTGATCATTTTGAAGCGCGATTTTTTTTAGGGCTTCAATATCACACCATATCACAGACATTGGTAACATGTAGGACCGTGTATCTCAGATTTAACATTGTTAAACGATCCCTTTAATGGAGTGGGAGGGAAGGGGAGGAGGAATAAGTCTTACCTTGAAACCACATGTCCAACAAGAATCTTGTCCATTGTCAACTCTTCAAATAATTTTCTGCAAAAATAGGAAAAAAGGAAAGATAAATGATTATTTCAATGGTTTAACAAATACAACACATTTGATTCTACAAAAACCTTAGAGAAAAACAAAGAGATTTTATAGTGCATTCATATTGGTGTTACTCCCAAAGTTAGCTGATATGACAAGATACTTCTTCTATTCATAAATCCAAAGGTACTGTTTAATGTATTTAGCATAAAAATAAGAAAACAAGTTTACAAGCAGCAACATCTTCATTAAGTGAATGTAAAGAGAAATTTTCATTTGTTTGTTTAAATAGAATGACAAAAAGGCTTTAATTTGAATGAATTTCATGACATGGAGCTGAATGCTTTAATTGATTGTGATTTTCCTCATTATTTTACTGGTAATAATAAGGATTGTGATACACATTTTGGTTGCAAAGTATGTTTTGAGAATGCGGGAAAGTCACCTGTCAAGATCTTGATTCTTGAGTGAAGTCGGTTTGATGAGTTCTATTCCTCCCAAGAAGCATTCTACAGCTTGGAACGGGAGGTGAAGAAACTGAGGCATGGCAGGACGTACTTTAGATCTGACCAACCATTCACAGTTACCATAGTCCACGTAGAATACCTGCAAATCAAAACAGGAGAGTGTGTTAAGACCATTGGGGCTCTGAGGTCGGAAAGAGATGAGTGGGGATTGAAAGCTGCCGTATTCTATCACCGATGTTCTCATAATTTTCGAAAGAGGATGGCAGGCGAGGTCAATGTAGATTGCAGGGGAGAGAACGATGAAAAACGAGTACCGTATTTGACGGCGATAAGGCCGCACCCCAACTTTGACATTTCAAAGAGGAAAAAAAAAAAAAAAAAGGAAAAAAAACAACAAACGGACAAAACAAAATAATCATAATTTTCTCGAAAAAACCATTTTTTTTTTACAAACTGATACCAAATTCATCCATATTCTTATAATTTACTGGAAGTTTAGCTAAAAAAGTGATCACAGGCAGATTTGGTGTCCGAAATATACCCCTACCACAATCTACGGTGTAATGCGAAACTGCATGAAATGGAAAAACAAAATGGCGACTTCGGATGGATGTTCGCGGCAGCTCTGTTAGACGGTCCCTTCCTTTACTTTTGCAATGCATTGGCACAAACTTAGATCAAGATCTATCGGCAAATGTTGTGTTAGGACGTTTATTTTCGTCTTCATGTCAACAATGCAAGATAAAATTGTCGGTAAGATGTTTGGAAATGTCCTGTACCATAGTGGTATTGTTATTTTACCCTTCCTAGTCCCATACGTGCAAATTCGTGCGGGTTTTGACTTTTGTTTTTTTTGTTTTTTTTTACTCTTTCGCCGTAAAGGCCGCACCCCGATTTTTTGTTATTTTCTCTTCCAAAAATACTGCGGCCTTTACGCCGGTAAATACGGTATGAGGAACAGAGGAAACCTTGAGAACTGAAGGACTCGAGGAAGGAAAAGGTAAGGGCATAACATAAGAAAAAGGTATTAAAGAGTAGGTTGAGTTCTGGGAAGAGGTGAACAAATAATTTTTGAGCGTTATCATTGTATTATGCAAGTGTGGAAGTACATAAAATGTTCCATGAAAAGCATGGCTCTTCAAATGCCTTAATATTTCAAATATGGCATGTAATATCATAAAAATCGGGATAGATTTTTAAGCCACATGTTCATGTAGTCCCATATACATCTTTCTGTGTACAATGCTTGTAAATTTACCAAGACTGGGCCAAATTCTTATCATTTTGATGATTCCAGAACCTTGCAGTACACACCAATACTTATATGCTAGATGATCAACCTTTTCTGATCGATTCCACACTGTTTCTTTTACAATGCAATCGCATGACCAGAACTCAACTTTATCTTTGAATGCTGTATCAGTATGATCAGGCTTGCATTCATCATATAAAAGGAAACCTCATTATATTGGGCTGTAACAATAACAAAGTCAAACTCCACCGAGACTGTCAACCTATGCTGAGACGATGTCTTCTCCTTACCTGTACTGTATTGGCCTCTGCATCCACATCAACAACCCTTGCTCTGTACCAGCTCTCATCCTTACTGAACTGAGCACATACTATCTCTCCTAACGCCAGTAGAGAGAGGTCCTCACGACGTGTGTATGACTTCTGGTAGATAGCACTGTCAGGGATAAATCAAATGAAATCAACCATTACAGGGAAGGCTCTTGGAAGACTTTGTCACAAAAGAGGATTTTCTTAGCTAAAAAGAATAAAATATTTCTATATTCGCTAAGAGACAAAGCATTGTTTCTTTATAAAATGCTTGGAAAATATGATTCAATCTTGACAAATAGAAATTCTAAACAATTTACCGTGTTACATGCTTAGTCCAAGTAAAATTGAGCTGGAGTTTATGGAAATGTCATGTTATACCAAATCAACTTGTAAACCATGGGTGAAACTACTATTGACTGACAATTCATCTACACATTTCAATGTACCAACAATACATTCACTAAAGATACCCATTTTGAATATATTCTTTCAACTGTGTTTTCCCTCTAGACAGTCAATCTACTATATTTATGACATACTTGATAGAATCTTGAAGAGCTGTAAGTGTTTCTCCATCATCCTTCCTCTCTTCAGGTACCTGGTTCAAACCGGTCCATTCCCTCTGGGCCTGGTCTATAGGTTTAGGACCAAACGGGAGCTGGACCCAGAAATGGATTGATGTATGTACAGCAGTGACCTCTAAGGCTACCCAGTGACCTGCCTTGGGTAAGCTGACGGATGTATTGCACCAGAACACTTCGGTCTGCTCCCGAAGCTCTTCACCTGCGATGAGATCAATTTCACTTATTTCATAGTTATTATTTCATAGTCAAGGGATTGGGAATCTTCGCCTCAGATTCTAAACAAAATCCTGGATTTGGCTCATGCTGCAATCATGATTATAAACCTTTAGGTCAGTCAGGATTCCCATGACTTTTACAAGCCGATCGCCTGTCTGATTATCAAGATATTTATGATTGGAAATCGAAATGTCAAAAACCTAGGAAAACAGTTTTTATAACAATAGTACAGTCTCTTGGGGACAATGAGTATGGTAAAACTGGTCACTCAAAGATTTTAAACTTTTTTGTGGCATTTAATGATCATTATGAAGCACAATTGTTTTAGGGTTTCAATATTACACCATATCACAGACACTAATAAGGCACAGGTAATACAAATGATGTTTCTGAAGCTTCCCATTATGAATTATGAAACAAACACACTAAATCACACCACCAAAGCAAGAGTTTCATTTAAGCAAAAACAATTTCCCCTTCCCTTAGCGGCATTATTAGCTACACAGCAATAGAAAAAGCAAAGCAAAGAAAGCATGCAGAAAATGTTAACTTCACAAATCACAACAAAAAACAATTACCTGGATACCAGACTGGGAGCAAAACTGCAAACTTGCTACCCTGCTGGCACCCAGGACAGTAACCTAGGAGAGGGGTGGTGTAGGGGGAGTCTTACTACCCTGCTGGCACCCAGGACAAGGGTAGTGTAGGGGGAGTAATGTTACCCTGCTCGCACCAAGGAGAAAGGTGATGCAGGGGGAGTCTTGCTACAATGCCAGTACCCAGGGGGGGGGGGGGGTGGTGGTGTAGGTGGAGTCTTGCTACCCTGCTAGCACCCAGGACTTTAATACAGGAGAGGGGTGGTGTAGGGGGTGTCTTGCTACCCTGCTGGCACCCAGGACAGTAATCCACGAGAGAGGGGTGGTGTAGGGGGGAGTCTTGTTATCTTGCTGGCACCCAGGTTAGTAGCACGAGAGGGGTGGTGTAGGGGCGAATCTTGCTACCCTGCTAGCACCCAGGACAGTAACCTGGGAGAGGGGCGGTGTAGGGGGAGGTCTTGCTACCCTGCTGGACCCAGGACAGCAACCCAGGAGAGGGGTGGTGTAGGGGTATATCTTGCCACCCTGTTGGCAACCAGGAGAGGGATGGTGTAGGGGGAGATCTTGCTACCCTGCTGGCACCAAGGACAGTAACCCTAAAAGAGGGGTGGTGTAGGGGGAATCTTGCTACCCTGCTAGCACCCAGGAGAGGGGAGGGGGGGGGAGTCTTGGTACCCTGCTAGCACCAAGAGAGGGGTGATGTACAGGGAGTCTTGCTACCCTGCTAGCACCCAAGGAGAGGGAAGGTGTAGGGGGGAGTCTTGCGGGTAGTCTTGCTACCCTGCCGGCACCCAGGACATACCGGGAGAGAGGTGGTGTAGGGTGAGATGGTTTAAAGAGGAGGTGTTTGGGGTGGATTTTTCAACTCATTTGGCACACTGGACAGCTGTGAGAGACCCCTTTAGAGCAGTATGGGGGGGGGGGGGGGGAGAGGGAGGGAGGGGGTCTAGCCTTGTTGGCACTCAGAATAGCTAAAGGAACCCATTAGAGTATAAGAAGGGGAGTCTTGCTACCTTGCTTGCATCCAGGACCCCCCTTCCCCACCCCCAGGTCTTGCCAAGGCTGAAGGCAGAATATTTACGGTATGAAACACAAAATGAAATGTATTTCATCAGATCAAATTATTTATAAATTAATTTTCCGCCACAATTAAAGCCAAATCATTAACGAAGCATTGAAGAAGTATTCTTGCTCCTGCAAACAATTTTTACCATAGCTATATCTCTTTGGTATCCTATAATATGTTTATAGGTTTATTGCTGTTTGGTCTACAAGCAGAACATCTATCCCCATATGGTCTACATCCAACCCGTCTACTATCCACATGGTCTAATAATAATTTGGTCTACTCATCATTTGGTCTAATGACCATGTAGGCTAACAGAGATTCGGTCTAATCTCCAATAAGTCTAATACCCATTTGGTCTCGTGCCCACTTTGTCTACTATCCATATTGTATAATAATCATTTAATCACAAATATTAATATCATCAAATGAATGTTAGACCTTATGGATGGTAGACTAAATGGGCATTAGACAAACTAGGGAGTAGACTTACTGGTTCTTAGACTAAATAAGCAATAGACCAAATGGGTAGTAGGCTAATTAGAGATTATACCATATGGAAATTAGACGCAACTACTATTACAATAAATGGCCGTTAGACCAAATGATAATACCAACAGATTATTATACCATGTTGATAGTAGATGGGCTGGGTGGAGACAATAAGGGAATGGACTAATTGGGTAGTAGACGAACTGGATGTAGACCAAACAGCAATTCACCTCTTTATATAATGTTGCAGTTATAGAAACTTAAAGGACAAAATGGAAAGGAGAAAAAAAAATTCTGAAATATCTTACAATTCTCTAGAAAAGATGGTATGATGGGCCAGAATGGCAACGACCCCTTTGTAAATGAGATGGAAAGACATGCGTTCTAGGTGTTAGCATAGGTGGGAAACTGTTATTATTATTAGAAGGCATCAGAAACCACTTGCCCCCAACATGTTCAGGTTTCTCCCTAGCAAACTGAAACATGGGTAGATCATCTTTGTACGGGAGGTGACCTTTTAATGAGTTTAGCCAGGATAATGTGGTCTGGGAATGGTACCCTTGGGGTGATGGGGCCCTGGGAAAGACAGGTGGACAAGGTAAAAGATAATCACTCGTGTCAGGGGGAGACATGAAAGGTTGGATATCGTGATCAAGGTGTTTGGGGTCCAGGGACCTGCGTGTCAGCCTATGACTGGAAGGGGGCAGATAATGGGAGACAGGGGGAAATGGTGGGAGGGAGGGGACTGCTGGTAGGAGGGAGGAGAATAGGGAGAGGGGTGGTCATAGGAGGGAGGGGAATAGTGGTGAGAGGGAGGAGACCTGGGGAAGGGTGGAGGGGATTGGTGCTGGTAGGGTGGAGAATGGTGTAGCCAGGGCCTAGGAGGGGGCATTAATACATGGGGAGGGTCTTGGGTACAGTGATTCCAATCATGCAGGATGGGAGGGGATTGCTGGTCAATGTCTTCAAATGTGCTAGCTGTATAAAGAAAAGTTAGAAGTAGCATGCGATTAAAAGATATTTGAATATAATTCCATGAAATAACTGTTACTCACTGAACAAAATTGTTAGTCTAAAAATCTACAAAGAACAAACTATAAAAGGATTACTGAGAACCCCCTCCCCCCATTAAAAAAAAAAAAAAAAAAAAAAAAAAAAAAATCAAATTTTCAGCATCCCCACAGAAATTGTTGTATTCAAACACCCTTCCCATTTCACTGCCCTTGCTATCATGATCCAAGCCAACGGAAGTCATCTACAAAACACACATATAAAATATTATGAAATTTGTTTGAGCAGGAGATAAGAAACTTAGGGGATATCTTGAAGTGACTGAAAAGAGTGTCAAATTCATTGACTTCACTCTATTACATACCTAGACTCAAAAAAAAAACCTAGCAAAAAATCTCAACATTTTTTTCCTCAATTATAATTTTCACACATGTAGTCTACTAATAGGCACACACCTCGCCAGTGTCTTATGGCCTTTAATATTTGGTGAAATTATCCCACATTTAACTTTAGCTACTTAGAGATATTATCGTGGAAGTCAACATAATAAGAAAGACTTGCATGCATTTGAAAATAAAGTTAAACGTTAGTCAACAGGTGCAAGCAAAAGTGGAGGCAAAGAGCAGAGAACACATGGGCATGCACTTGAAAACTTAAAAACCTAAAGCAAAGCATATGTATATAATATTGACTAGCCTTGAGGGAGATACCACATATATTGCCCAAACTAGACTCATATTGCCCAGAGTCAAAAGATAAGGGCAATATGGGTCTTGTGAGGGCATTATATGTTGTATCTCCCGAAAGTTAAGCCAGTCAATATTTGTATTGTTATCCAAATCAGACATCTAGAGCAAATACATAAATCAACCATGACAATCTCAAAGAACTGAAAAATATTTGTCAAACCAGCACTGTGTATCCAGTGCTTGACTAAATTGTTGATACACTGCAAACAGTGTGCCTAATTTGATGTGATTAATACGTCACAATAGAGTGCGCGCAAAGTGAACAGGTTCTCATATGCGTAATAGATGTGCAATGAAAATGACAAAATACGGTGCGGTCAATATGAGCCTATATTTACCTTTTTTTTAACACGTAAAGTCCTTAGGCTTTTTCATGAGGGTAATATGGTCTTATATTGACTGATTAGCTCTTTTAGGATTACAACAAGTGTAATATGATTTTGTAAAACCACTGTTCAGATGTCTGACATGGTTAATAATAAGAAATATTTAAAAAATTCAAAACCCAAAGCAATGCTTATTATTGATTATCTCATGCATCTCTCGAGTTCCAAACTTGTCTTACCACGCCTTGGGTGCTCAAAGGGACAGGTCACTCCTTTATAGCACCGTCTACCCGCTGCATAATATTTGCACACTCTCCCTTCAATGGTAGATTCTGTAATTGACAATTTGAGAAAGAAACTATTTCACATATGCTAGATAAAGATGGTACTGGGATCGGTTACATTAAAATTCTTATCAATGACAAATGCCAAATTTGTATGACAAATTCTGCTCTCAGCCAATCAGATGCCATGATTTCAGTAGCGTGGAACAGTTTTAAGTTTTATGAAACAGGTTCTGGTACCACTTTCAACTGGTCTTAACATGATTGTTTTTCCTTAAGGCAAACAGTCTACATAGTTTCCTGTGGTTTTGATGTGGCTTCAAAATGAGTAATAGCTGATTATAATGATGTTTTCCAAATACTTACTGACTAAAATGTTATTTACTTTATGCATGTGAGCTCATAATGCTAGTTATATCATGAAGACAAGAAATTTATGTTTCAGATCTACCGATATACAAAGAGACTTACATACTATTAATTTGTATGTGGAAATCAGTTATCTTTGTACAAAATCAGTATGGAGTTCAGGGACTTTGATATTGCTGGGTTTAAGGGCAAATTTGACATGGAAACAGACTGAACCACTTTCAAATTGCATATTTTGGGCAACTACGAAGAACATACCAGACAATAAAGTTTTAAAAAAACTACTGGGTAGTTATATTCATGAAAAGAAAAAGTAAATGTATACAAAAAAAATCATCCGATGCAATTTTTTTATCAACAATTTTCTGATCTTGAAACTTCTGCATACAGTGGGTATCACTTGTAATTATGAAAGTCATGCTCATTTAACACTAATTCATATCTTGCAAAATGTATGCCAAATAGTAAGTTTTGTGAATCTGTCAACACTAACACAGAATTTTGCCCAGGAGGGGTTTACAGGAATGATAACGAGCACTAAAAAAAAATGTTTTGTTTCCCCCCTCAACCACGCTCCCCTTGAGTAAAAAAGAAAGAAAGAGGATTCGGGGAAAACAAAATGTTATCTACCGGTAACAACATTTCCTTCCTTATGAGTAAGAAAATAGGGAAAAATAGGGAAAAATAGAGAAAATCTGGGAAATATCAGGATAAAATCGGGAAGAAGAAAAAAAAAAAAAAATCTGGGAAAAAAAAATTGGGAGAAATCGGGAAGAAAAAAATTGGGAAAAAAAAAAATAATAATCAGGAAATTATCAGGCCTGGGTTTACCAATACATAAAACAAGATAATATTCTCAGAGGAGAAAGGGGTTCCTTACTCATTCCAGTGGTAGCTACTACTGGATCATCCATGTCTACTCCATAGCTGTTCGTCTCCGAGCTGAAGTGTTGCACCATGGGATTCCAATGATCGATGATCACTTCCTCTTCCTTGGATGGACCCTCGGTGGTGTCCATAGTCCCTGGCGTTTGTCCACCTTCAGGCTCATCCTTAGGGTCAGGGCAGTCTGATGGGGATGCTTCATGCTGGATAGCATCTAGCATACATGACAATTAGAATCATCTTAATCTATCAGACTTTAAAGATACTATGTCCCTTTTGCAGCCAACATCAAATTCTGTAGAGCTTTGCAGTAATTATGAATATGTAATGCATGTCCGATCTGTGAAATTTAAACGTTAGCAGTGTCCTAATATTCAAATTATGCAAGGAAACCAGTTTACTTGCTAGACTTCACTGTCAGACACTATTGCGTGACTGCCTGGCTTTTTTCTTCTTTGGTAATAACATACATAAAATGAGCTGTAAAGGGTACATGAGCATTTGTCTACAACTCTACATCAATATCCCACTTCTTGTAATGGCCAAAACTAAACTGATTAAATCTTTGTGCAGCACAAAACATAGAACCATTGGTACAATGGTCTGAAAATCAGACTATTATTTACCAACTGGGTAGCACTTAAGTCGATTTGACAACTAATAGTCTTAATTTTCCCACTTAAAGACATTTTCAAGCCCCCCTTTTTTTAAAGGGAAGTTCTAAATTAATATTATCTTTCAAATACCGTTGGAATTTAACTTTTTCATTTGTTTGGCCTGCAAATGGGACATAGTACCTTTAACATCAATTTAATTTTTATATTTTATACAAGCATATATTATCCATGTGTATTTCAAGCTACTTATCGACAAGCTATATTGGTAGATAATGGAATATCACAAGCAAACTTGGATTACCTCTAGAGGCTGGGTTACATGTGTTTGCTCTTTTCATATTCTGTGAAAGAACTGTATCTACAGATGCAAAATGATAGTTTATTAGCTGTGCAGGCAAGAACTTTGACAGGTACAAGAACCCATTGCATAAAACTTACCATTGATGGTAACTTTTCCATCAATGGCAACTACCATGGTAACAGGGCTCAAATGCCAATCAAAATCAATGTTTACGGGGTAGTTACCATTGATGGCAAAGTTACCATCAATGGTAAGTTTTGTGCAATGGGCCGAGATCTTCTTACTTCCATTCCTACATTCAAAGTATTTCTAGAAAGCATATTACATCAGTCATTCTTGAAGCACCGCCATCTTCAGCAAATCGATGGCAGACACTTGCTCATGGCTTGGGCAAAAGAACTTACCCTGTTCATGAACAGGTTGCTTCTTGTAGTAAGATGAAGAAGCCAATCCTTGATCAACAAGTCTTTGGTTTAGACACACCCCTTCTGCCTCTGTGTTGTCTTTCACTTCAAGCCATGTACATTCCCTATACATAATATCAAACAGTGAACCATTGGTTAGCACACTAATAACATTCATATTTTCTACAGAAATTTGAAGCTGGTGTAATTGCCATTCAGGGAGGACATACAGAGAGTTTTTTGCTTTTATGCGTCTGCATAAAAACCCAGAAATAACAATAAAACATTTTATTCATATGCACTGAATACAACAATATACATTTGTATACACTTTTCTTCTTTTTTTACTGACAATCCGATTTAACATGAAGTAATTGACAGTTTTTAAGTGACCACCTGTGAAAAGGACTATGAAATATCCACTTTCAGGCAACCTTGGATTTCATTCAAGAATCTTACAAGCCAATCGTATGTTTGATTATCAAGATATTTATGATTGGAATTCAACATTTCAAACCGTTTTCCCACTGTTTTTTATAACACTACAGTCTACTAGGGAAAATTAACATGGTAAAATTGGTCACTCAAAGATATTTACTTTTTTGAAGCACTTCATGATCATTTTGAAGCGCAATCTTTTAAAAGGGCTTTAATGTTACACCATATCACAGACACTGATAACAGGTAGGGCCATGCATCTCAGATTTGGCATTGTTAAACAATGCCTTTAATAAAGAATTTCAGACCAGTTTGATAACTTACTTCTGTTTTCCTCCCACACGAATCACCTGTCCGGTAAGCAGCTTCTCAAACTCACTCATTCCAACCAGGGAGAGTTTGCACTCCTCTGACCACTCGGCTGATGTACCTGTACAATCAAATCATCCCCCAAATCATCACATACACCTGTCATTATGATAAGTCATGGTAGACAGTTGGGTTCAATAGACTGAAGATATGTTATCTTCTGAAATATTATGATATAAAGTATAATAATTTTGTTAAGGAATCATTTCATCAAAAGTAAGGACACATAAGGGAGGAACCCATATAATCATGTGTGCAACCAGAATATTGTTTTGAACAACTTCAAACTGGACATTTTTAGGCCTGATAATTAAAATGCTGAAAGTGTACTTCCCTGACTCCATTCGGTTTCATCAGTGACTGATGTAAGTAATTTGTCTTAGGAATGGCTTTTTCTGATAAACGGTTACTAGATTTTTTTCTGGTGGACTATTATTCGTATATGCTTCATTTCATAAGAATGTTTAAAGAAAATGATGATTACATATATATATGTAGTATTGCATCTTTGCAGCACTTGATTAGTTTCTACAACCACTCTCTCTCTCTCTCTCTCTCTCTCTCTCTCTCTTTCTTTCTGCCTTTTGTCCCTCTTTCTTTCTCTCATTCACTCTCTAGCTGTCTCTCTCTTCCTATTTTTGCTTGGAGGAAAATACAGTATTGTTAGTGATGTATGAACGCATTTATGATGTGACTCAGCATAATGTTTTTGTTATGTACTGTCTTCTGAAAACTGGAATGGTGTTAACTCATTCTTGTTTAACATTTAACTAAATACCCTTTCGGCTCTCAGCAGGCAAAATCGTGTTTATGCCTATATTTGTACACTGCATGTTACACCAATGGGAAACATATTTCTGTATTATTATGGACAATAAAACTAGAATCTTGAACCGTTACCTTTGTTGTCTTTGCTGGTCTGTTTCGTTCCATCAGTCATTGGAGGCTGAATCCTTGCCAGTCCACACTTGAAAGCTAGAGGAGCAAGGCTACAGAAGTAATTCTCTAGAGGATATAACATGCTTTCTGGAATCCATTCCTCATTACCAAAGTCTACATACTTGACCAGGACATGTCTTCCATCGTCCACTCCCCTCACACCCTTGATGTCCTGCACCACACCTCTGTACCACCTGTTGTCCTCGCCAAACTTGCCACAACAGACGGCTCTGATTGACAGCCATGAGATAGGTGGTCTGTAAACGCCCGCCCTCTCTATGTCTGAGTAGACTGAGTTGAGTTCATCGAGCAGGTAGTCCATCTTTTGGGCCTCTGGTGTGATGAGATGGATGTAGAAATCTAGTGGAGAAACAACGTGAGACATGGCAAACAGGATCTGCTCTCCATCTCGCAGAGTCCTCTGCGGTACATACTTCTGACCGATAACATCCACCTTGGAGATGGCAGGGGACGATTGCGGTTGACCGTCAGTCTTTGGTTTGGCGACTTCTCGATCCGTGCTGTCTGCCTCACTCGCATCTTCAGCGCATGTAAAGAACTGATCCGTTAAGTCTGTGAGATGGTCATTTTCAGCAGAAGAAGCGATGTGCATTGCTGTCTTATTGCTGTGAGCTTTGGCCGTTTCAACAACTAAGGGTTTGTCATTTCCTTTTTTAATGTTCATTTGCTTAGAGCTGGGGATATTGGACTCTCCTTGCGGCTTATTGAGAGTGATGAGACCAGGTCTAGAGGTGTCGCTGAGGTTCTTCTGAGGCACAAATGTTAAACTCCTAGCCGAAGACACACCGCTGGTAGAATTAGGGCTATTGCTCCTTGCACTCTCCGACCCACAGCTAACCTGCTGATCGTGACTATCCTTCTCAATCTCCTGTGTCCCTCCATCCATCACATCATCATGATGTCCAAGGGGAGTTGTCTGTCCTTTTGTCATGACAACCAAGGATGCCTTTCCTGCAGGTGAATCAGTACAGCTGGTCTCGGGTGTCCTGCAAAGACCTGGAACCCTCTTCTCCGTGGTGTACTCACTCTCGTAGACAGGTGTATCGGAGGTACTACTCTCCTTCCTCAGCTCCTCCTTGGCAAGTTGTCTAGCATCTCTGCCCTCTTCATACGGAACATCAGTGTCTTCTGTCGATAGCTGAGGATCATGGTGTCTCTTGGATCTCTTGGTCTTCTTTTTCTTCTTCTTTTTACCACTAGAAGATCCGCTTTCTTTTCTGTCTTGCTGTCCTGCTTCATGTCCCTGATCCTTGCCTTGTTCTTGTGATGGAGTAAGTGTTACAGACTGAGAGACATCTATAGAAAATTAAAGATGGTAAAAACATTATAAACTGTTTTCATTTTTCATTTGCATGACATAATCACCACTTCAATACACCTATATTCAATCAAAACTAACAATATGTTAGGACGGTTATATTTCATTAAGCATGCACCACTACAGATGTCCAAAATTCTTACATTAAACAAATATTACTGTTGTCCTTAACTATACGTTGTCAGCCAGGGAATAAAGATCATCCATGAATTACTTGTCTTCTATTAAGCCAACTGGCTTCTTTCAGTATTTCAAGGCCACATGAAAATTACAGTTGAATTAACCCCAGAGGTGCTATCAAGAGATTTGCATTTCGTGCAAATTAAAAGTACTATTTCCCATTTGCGGGCCAAACAAATGAAAACTTAAATTCCAACGGCATTTGAAAGATAATACTAATTTATCAAAACGAAAGGGCTTGAATATATCTTTAAGTGGGAAAATAACATCCATTAGTTGTTGAATCGACTTTAGTGACTGCAATCCATTTAGTAATAGTCTGATTTTCAGACCATTGTACCGAATGGTCGTACGTTTATGCTGCGCAAAGATTCAATTAGTTTAATTTTGGCCATCACACGAAGTGGGTTATTGATGTACACAAATGCTCATATATCATTTTCAGCTCATTTTCTGTATCTAACATTACCAAAGGAAAAAAAAAGTCATTCAGTCACTCAATAGAGTCTGACAGTGAATCCATAAAGGTAAACGGGTTTCCTTGCATAATTTGAATATTAGGACGCTGCTAATGTTTAAATTTCACATATAGGACATACGTGACATATTACTAATTCCAGCATGTTCTACAGAATTTGGTGTTGGTTGCAAATGGGACATAGTACCTTTACTGGAACCCCCATGTTTTCCATTTATGATATACACATGTTTGTAGTAAAGAAAGATGACGTTTATTACCAAGTCATCATTCTACAATGGCTTATTATTATTTGCAAACATCTTATTGTACCAATTATCATATTTTCTAATTTGCATCTGAGTAGTTTGTACAAACTCTTTCTTCATCTTACCTGTGGCAGCAGCAACGTTTGGTGATTGGCAGACATCACTGTCTGTGGTGTGTGTAGTCTGGGAGTAGTAAGAATCTGTGGTGGAACATTGATCGTCTGGTAAGGCACGCTTCTTACTAACCATCAACTTGCTAACATCCACCTGGTAAGAAAACATAAAGTTTAATTTTTTTTTCAAGTTCAAGTAAAATTTTATATAATTTCAGATGCAAATCATTATACATGGAATCAAGGGTACCACAAAAGACCACAAGGGTCTTGTCGGAAAAGTTGAAAGTGCTCAAAAGCAGGAGGAGAGTATGATATATTTAAACATTTAGTTACCAAACAATAACAATAAACATCATAAAAACATTAACAAATTTTATTTAAAGTAAAAAGAGAAAGACCAGACAAACCTAAACAAAGTTTTGAAAATAAACAAGATAATTTTTAGACTAAAATTCAGAAAATAGGAGGAATTCCTAAAATTTTCTCATAAAATTATTATAAAAAACAATTGATGTGTTTTCATTTTAGTAGAGAATTCCATATAGCTGGTGCTTTGTGTCTGAAAATGAAAAGAAATCTGAAAGAAATAGGGCACATCTGAGAGTCAAGAATACCATACATGCCCTAACCATATATTAACAGGTATAGTTCTACACTACAACTCTGATGTATTTCAAAGATTTGCTGTTTTTCATGTTTTCACAAGCGAATCTAAAGAAGAATGAATACTAGAAGATGAAAACTAGTCATAGAGGCCTCTGCTCAGTCGAGCAGCTAACAAAAAATAAAACATTGTGACAAAGCGATTCCTTACTAGTCCAGTTTCCTTCTCGTTGATGTAGTGATCAAACAGTAAGTCCACTGCCGGTAGATCAAAGCTGCTGGTACTACTGCCTGGCTGACGAACCACTATGGCAGTCAGTTTACGTCCAAACGTCATTTGGGTGAAGAATTCTGTTTCATCGGTAGTCCAGTGGCTAACCCCCTTCCCTGTTGGCTTGACCTGAATGAAAAAAATCAAATCAATTTTTTTTTTAGATGGTGACTCCACCAGCAAACACAGCATTAAGTTGAGTGAGATTTAGATACATGTACATACCTTCTTGAAAATAGTCATGAATATGCAGTATGCTTTAGGTAAGAAATTGAATCAACAACACCTGTATTTAAAGATAAAGTTGAGTTCTGGTCATGCGATTGCATTGTGAAAGAAACGGTGTGGAATCAATCAGAAAAATATGATCATGTAGCACATAAGTATTGGTGTGTACCGCAAGGTTCTGAAATCATCAAAATGATAAGAAATTTGGCCTAGTCTTGGTAAAAGTAACAAGCACTGTACACAGAAAGATGTATATGGGACTACACAAACATGTGGCATAAAATTCGGGCCTCCTAAGCTGTCACTTGTCATATTTAGAATATGAAGGCATTAGAAGAGCCATGCTTTTCAGGTAACATTTTTTCTCTGATGTTCTTCCACACTTGCATAATAACAATGATAATGCTCACAAATTATTTTTCACCTCTCCCCAGAACTCAACCTTCTCTTTAAACAAACGATGCACACATTCGATGACTTTGTATTGAGAAAATTCTGTATGTATTCTGAATATTAGGGAGATGACCTGATTATTATTTTAAGTAAATAATCTAAGGTTTTCAATAATCTGAATTTGAAAAAAGCACATAAGTTGTAAGATATATTTGCTGATATAATTTTAAAATATCAAGCTGCAAGGTACAAGAAAACATACACAAAATGGAATTATAATGTAAGGAAGCCTGAGTAGGCCCTAACATTTTTAATAAATGGCAAAAAGAAGAAAGAAGAAATGGGAAAGAGGGACATGATTTATGTAGCCCATAAATCAAAGTCAGAATATGAAGGGGAAAACATATTTCTGACTACCAATCACATCTTAATAAGGAATGTTGCTTTACTTGTAGTATATTGAAAGTATTGAAATATTGGCAAAATTGTTCCTGCTTTCCCTCTCAATAAAGAAAAAAAATAAGGATAATAAAGGTTTGAGCTTTGAGAAAATGAAAATCGAAGGAACACAACAAAGAACACAATAAATCAAATCACAGAACCTTCAAACTTGATGCAGCAACATTTTGAGGCAGTTACAGAAACACAATTAAGCATGCTAGAACAAATGTTAAGTACATTGTAGCTGGAAAAAACTGACTTGTAAAATGTTGATGTTAGTAACACAGGTTTGGTCCACTGGAAAATGACCTTCACTATCTGTCTCGCTTTGCAAGTTGTGCACCTATGAGCTAGACCAAGGGCTATCCAAGATATGTCCATGCTAATTGCATAATAAAGCTCAACTTTTATGTCAAGCAACACATTAATTATGGTTTCTCCTCAAATATTTGACTCATTATCAATACAAAGAAATAATGTCATTGCTGTTTTAAATTACCAGTATAATTATATGTTATCTAAAATTCATGGTGACTATATCATAAATGAGCTTTTGCACATTGGCTTCGCAATACTTATTGACAGGAAAAACCTGGGCTGATGCTTGGTGATCTAATGTAGTCTTACCTGTTTCAAAAATCTAAGCCTCATTCATCTAAATAGGGGTTTTATAGGAATGATTAATAGTTGAATGAAATTCATATGAAATTACAAATCTCATTTGTCCTGAATGCTGTTTTGTTAAAGCTACTTGGTTTTCAAAAGGCTGTCATGCATTTAAAATTATTGAACACTGTGAAACCCATAAATTAATGTCTGTATATGAACACATGAACCATATTAACTGGTGACCGAGAGCTAACATCTTAAAAGGTTATTCAACAGCAGATATCAATATTAATAGGCTGTTTCCAAGTCAAGTTGCTATGGTATGTTAGCTTCATGCTGTTATTCACACAGCCATAAAAGAAAAACAAGTCAACGAAAAGCGTAGCATCCCCTCACAGGGTAAAAATGGCCTATATACATCAGAACAAGTTACCTCCATTGGACTATACTATTATATTACTAGGCAAGGAAGTTAACCACATTTTCACATATATAATTAGGTGTTTTTGCATATTTAATGAGCTATGACCTTTCAACTTTGACCTACATACTCGGAAATTGATTTAAGTCTGTGTTTTGATACCATGTACCTTCATATCAAATTTCATTAAAATTCGTCAAATATTACTCAAGTTATCGAATGGAAACCAGATTCGCATATTTAATGAGCTATGACCTATGATCTACATACACTATGATAATGACGGACAAAGAAAGCGGACAAAATATACAGTTCCTCATTCAACCCTCAACAATTGCTGTGGTAGACAAAGGAACATCCCTTCACTGCTATTATGTAAAAATGTGTAGAACAGGTGTCACATACATATTCACCTGTTCTACACATTTTTACATAATTTTTACACATTTTTACATAATAGCAGTGAAGGGATGTTCCTTTGTCTACCACAGCAATTGTTGAGGGTAGAATGAGGAACTGTATATTTTGTCCGCTTCTTTGTCCATCAAGTTATTGAATGGAAATCACATTCGCATATTTAATGAGCTATGACCTTTGACCTACATACTCTGAAATCGAACTTAGGCTGTGTTTTGATACCATGAACCTTCATATCAAATTTCATTAAAATTTGTCAATCGTTACTGAAGTTATCAATTTGTAACGGACGCACGCACGGACGGTAGCGTTTCTATATCCCCTCCGACTTCGTCGACGAGGGGATAATTAAAGTAAATGAAGGAAATACAAAGGTAGAATATATGATGAGAAAGTAGGAGGGGGAGAGTTAACATCTACATTATTAGTTTCTAACATAAATTAATTTGCTCATTTCCTTGAAAAGTAGATTCTTAATTTATCTCGGATGTCAAAGAATAATGGCACTGTGGTAGGTGAGCAGATTGAGGACCTAGATGTTTCAAGTCTCATCTATTAAAGAGACTAGGCTTAACGTTAAAACTTTAGAGAATCTTAACTTTGACTGTAAGAACCTCAAATCTATTATTTTCATTTCACCCTTCCATGCCAATCCATAGTTGAACCAAATTTGGTCAGAATTGTTTTAATGTTTATCAGGTTACCATGGTGAAAGAAGACTATTGCAACAGAAGTAGAGACATATTTTATTCCCATAATGAAAATGGGTATTTTGCAACCAGGGCAAAATATATAGAAGTAAATCCTGAAACAAAACATATTAAAATTCACTGTTCTCAAAATGTCAGCAAAACTTAGTTTTACTTCCAAAGTCCTATAAAAAGGAATGTGATTCATCATTACAAATTTACAAGATAAAGAAAGAAAATGGGGCAATATAAGCCAAGTGCTGATAGTAAAATGCTCCAAAATAAACATGAAATCCTAGTAACGTGCGTACGCTAAAGTGAAACATGTCCAATCGTAGCATGAAACACCCCCCCCCCCCCCCCCCCCCCCCGTTTTTTTCTTCCAGGAACCATTTCCAGTGGACCAAAGAACATGTATAGCAAAATACCTACGCTTTCATTGCTCAAGAAGATTATTTTGCCCGCATCACTTGCAAGAAGCGATTTTATATTGGTGTTCATTAACGCCAGCTGGAAGACACCTTCCGTTCTCGAAACAATTTTCTGGTGAAATCAAATCAATGGATCTGAACATTATTACACCATATCAAGGTCACTTTCTCACGGGTGATAGTGAGCACTAAGGTTTTTTTTTCCCAGACCACCGTCCCCTTGTGTAAAAAAAATTTAAAAAGGATCCAGGGAAAAAAAAATGGCATCTAAGAACATTCCCTCCTTTTAGAGTAAGAAAATTGGCGAAAATTGGGAAAAATAAGGGAAAATAAGGGGAAAATCAGGAAAATCAGGAAAATCAGGGTAAAATCAGGGTAAAATCAGGAAAAAAAATTAAATTGTGAAACCAATTTAAATCAGGTAATTATCAGACCTGCTTTTTATGCCATCGCCCATTATCCACAAAAAATGCACACTATGTAATTTACAAGGTAACTGCAATATTGCTTTCTATGTCGGACACAAGAAATATCAATTGGACTGAAAGACAACACACCTCTGACTCAAAAGGTAAGCCACAGCTAGTAGGTTAATAGTTGTTTTTTTCAATTTAAATTTCTAAGGAAGGGGGCAGGGGGCGGTAGAGGTACATGTATAAAGACACAGAGCATTATTAAAAATTGTATAGGTTTATGGAATATATAGATAAATGAAATAAGGGGTCATTACTCATTAGTGATCTGTAGCAAATAATAAAAATTCCAGCTTTTTCCAGATGGCTTCTAAAACGCATAATGCATAAGTGAATATTAAGCGATAACATAATCTTACTCTAGCTAGCTTGCAGCACACTGCCTGAGCGGAGTCACTCATGAAGCGAGGATGAAGCGGACGGAGACGGGAGTCTGGGATGCGCTCCCTGTTACCGTAATCAATGTAAATCACATCTACATGTACACCAACTCCTTCCAAGACTGAAGTAGGACTTAGGTGTATGGCTAGAGAGGAAAAAATCAAGAAGAATATTATCTCTTCCAGAAGAATCATGCAATGTTCTAAAGCATCATTCATACATGATGGTGTAAACTGTGGCAGATATTTTTTGATGGAGGTGAAAAAAGTAATTGTGTACAACAAAGGCAGCAAAGCACACATTTTATCTGTGTTCTAAGCTCTATGTGAAGCACACTACACTCAAGTAATATCAACATGTTTTTTTTTAGAGGCAACATGTGTGAATGAAGCTCTTTTGTTTGTGCTGAAGAAGATCTATAAACTTATTACCTATTCCCTTAATTATTTAACACATGTTAATCCAGATTTTTAAACATACAAGGGGGGGGGGGGGGTTAAAATTACTACCTTTTTAGAAAATCATGATAACGAGCAAAATACCACAACCACTTAAAGTTGTCAATTCATCATGAATGTACTTTCTTTATCCTACTCATATACGTATGGTGTAAGGAGTATGGAGAAGGGAGGATTGAGATTAAGATGAAGAGAATCTATCTATCTTACAAACCTATGATACGTGCTCGATACCAGCAGTCGTCGTTTGTGAAGCAAGCACAGCAGTACATCCCAACCTTAGGTTGAAGGGGAGGCAGCTTCACGACACTACTGTAATATTTCCTGAAAGATGAGCGTTTAAAATCAGATATTCAATTCATTTATCAAGTTCTATATCCATATTTCTTTAATCTTAAGTATGTTGAATATTAATTTTAATTATTTGTATGCGCCTTGAGCATCTCTAGAGATGGATATGTTGCGCTTTATAAATATTGTTATTATTATTATTATTATTGGGCAAATGGGTAAACAAAATCTTTCTTTATAAGAGTTGCAGAGATGCCAACTTTTGGAAATCAGAAATAGGGAGGATTTGTAATCGACACCAATTAATGTGCGCGTAGCGCACATCTCGAGCGCGTAGCGCCCGACACATGCGGCCGGGGTCCAGGGCCCGCCTTAGGGCCCTGGAAGCTCTGGGGTTCTAGATGCTCTCTGGTGCAATCTGAGCCTTATTTTGGAGCATTTTACATGTGTATTTAGTTAAATAATTCCCCCTTTTTTTTTAAATAACATAAAAATTGTACAAAATGCATGATGAATTACTTTCAGACTTCCGATTACACAGGTACTTGATACTGTATTCGGTCTTATACTTCCGAGACCATTTCCTGGTCTTATTTTGCTGATTTTCCGCCATTTGGATTCTGTGGCAATATCCACGCATTGGTTACGGCGATCCATATGCTGAAACAATCTTTCGCTACTCTTAATTTGTCTTTTAACATAGTGGAATTATTACATGCTTAAGTTAGCAGATGATATTTCTCTTTCAATTCACAGATATATATACTGATAAGCGCCCTCCAAAAAAAATCATAATAAAAAAAAAAAAAAAAAAAAAAAAAAAAAAAAAAAAAAAAAAAAAAAAAAAAAAAAAAATCATTTTTTTTTTTTTTTTTTTTTTTAATAAATCGGGAGGATAAGGATGGTGATCGTAAGGTCGGGAGTTGGGGTGAATTATCGGGAGCCTCCCGATAAAATCGGGAGGGTTGGCATCTCTGGAGTTGCTTAGCTTAAAATAATCTCATTTAACTTGCCTTATTTTGACATTCTGAAATGAATTGGTGTACAATTTAACCATAAGAAAAGAATTGAAAATGTTTAAAGGTAATACATAGTTTTGGTAATATTTCAACAGGATTGGATTATGAAATATAAAATTTGCATTACCATTGTGAAACCTAGTGTTAGAATAAGCAATTTCGTACAAAGTGGGCTCTAAAAACTCTAAGGCTTTCGAGAAATTGAAATATCAAAATTTATCGGTGCTCCTGATAAATTTTAAATAGCTGGTACCATGAAAATCTCAGAATGTGCAGTTCTGATCGTTAATTTTCGAGAAACATTCTTTAGAAGCTTAAGTATTATCAATTTTGAGAGGGAGCTATACAAAAAAAGTTTATTATTCACAATTTCATCACTTGAGAATGGATTTCAACAGCGACAAAGATCATTGAAATTGAATATTGTTGGATCGCATATGCTTCCAAAATGTTTATTTGAACCAAATTCATGACCCCACACCAAAACTTTGTATTACACCTTTACAGTACCAGTAATAAGCAATTGAAATATGAGTGAAATTGAACGCCGAGTAACAACTATGAGCAAAACTGGGTTCCGATGAAATCTTGACATCTCACCTGATCTCTTCCATCAGAGCTTCAATCCTAGATTGTGTTGGTTGAATCCAGAAGATAGAGGGCGACACCACTTCACTAACCACCACCTCAACCCTCATACCAACCGGGAGATCTACAGGAACTATCTCTTTAGGAACGGATGGCAGCAGTCCCGATGGCACCGTCTTCTCCTACAAATTGACCACAGAAACAAATGGATGCTTATTTATCATCATGTGGGGGGCATTTCACAAAACTTGTCTTCAGTGACAAATGACAGTTTTTGTTATAAGCTACTGAAATCCTTGCTCCTGATTGGTTATCAACAGATTTGTCACTGATTTTTGTCATTTGTCATTGAAAAAAGGCCTTGTGAAATGGGTCCCAGAAGAAGAAATAGAATGCACCATAATACCATCTAAAGCTAAGATAACTATTAAAGCATCAACCCTCTCACTACAAATTGCAATTTCAAGGATTAAGAAGTGATGATTTATGGGAATTTCAGAAGATTTGTATGTGAAGTACTCACACATACTTTGACCATACTGGTAAAATATCAATCTCAAAAGACTTATAAGCATATCTCTCCACAGTAAAAGTAAGCACATATAAACTACTCATCCTAAAACTAAGGAATACTGAAAACTATCAATTACATAAAAGCATATTCACCATTCAGAATAAATCCTGAATCTATAAAAGTACCCCCTCTTGTCCTCCTGAAAATATATACATTCATCAATAGTTACCTGTGTAGCTTCAAGTGGCTTTGTTGCTATGCCCGGCAAGCTTGCTGGATCACCCGATGAAGCCGAAGGTGGAGATATGTATTTACTCTTATCCACAGATTCACTACTCACTGATGACGAGTTAGACTTGTGGTTCGGTGAAACAGACGGCTGGGAGCTGGAAGACGGCAGCATAGAGGAGCTTCCATGTGTCTCTGTTGTATCAATGCTATTGGTCTGAAAGAATAACACATTGGTTGATTTAATAAAGTTCTTTGCTTGACATCCATCAATCAATTCAAATACATATGAGCGTGTGAGACAAGTATTTCTTTCTTCTCCTTCAATTTCACAAAAATGGTTTTAAAAATAAACATACAATATGGGTGCAAGTGATACATTTTTAAGTTTGATAGCCTTAGGATGTTATATACAAATATTTCTTTGTTCAATTACCAAAGTTTATAAACATGATTCTAATAATAATCTACAAAATATTCAACATTTTTGACTTAATTGATATGAGAAAAGACTTTCCAAATTATTCAGTCAGATAAATGGAGCATTTTTTTTGGAATAGATGCCCTAAAAATCATCATGGTTTGTGTAAAGCTGGTATTGAACTGATTGGTAAAACTTGGATACAGAATCTGCAATGTGCCTGTGTTAAGTTACGTAGGGTTCAAATGAATCAAAATCCCTGTCGCAGCACAATGTCCTTTGGCAAGACATTAATCTACATTTGCCACAATCTACCCAAGTGAGGTGAGGCTTTAATGGCAGCAGTACATAATACACATCATTTTGTTTGGGCATTAGTAAAATTACCCACACTCTGTACCTTCAAAACAGTCCAAACACCCTCGGCTATCACCTATCGTGTTAGAACGTTCCAAAGGTACCTCGTGTGGGTAATTCTTACTAATGCCCTCACTGCTGTGCATTATCATTACTATTATTACTCACCTGGTTATTAGTGCTCGACTCACAGGCTTCATTCTCTGTGCCTGGAGTGACAAGGGGAGCTGGAGCCAAAGCCGGAGACTGCTCAATCTCTGTGGTAGAATCATCAGTCCTGTCTTCCACAGTGGGTGTATCACAGGCCTCAGGTGTCTCTTCATCAGATGCGCAATCGGTAGAACTCTCATCTAATAAAGTCATTCCAACAAAAACAACAAAATTTACCTGTCTGCACTAGTTTGGCCAGGGGGGATTAGACCTCCCTGCATGGTCACTGACAGGTGGTTATCTCATCAAATCAGCTCTCACTTAACATAAGAAAAAGGGGATCATGGGGTACCAACAGGTACCGCTTGTTTGCTTATAGAGGGCGCAAGTAGCTACAAGTAGTGCTGTCCCGCCTAAGAAGCATGTGGTAGCAAGGACAGCAGTCCATAATGAAGGATACATCTATGATTTTATCAAGTGCAAAGTGGTTCAATATTTTCTTCAGATCAAGTTTCTGTTGACTGAAATTGTCCCTCCTGATCCTAGTTTTGATTCATTTTCATCGATTTCAGAAAAGAATCTTAAAGTCTCACTTTGGCACGAATATTTGGCAACTACAGTATCATATTTGCAAGTGTCTGTTAGTACAGAACGTTAAGGGGAATTTCAATGATATAGAAATTTTGTCCTACAATCTGAACCAGTAATGTTGCAGTATGCTTCAAGTAGTTTTCCCAAAACTATTGCTGGTTCGTGACTAAACAAAAAGAAAGAACATCTTAGAATTGAATATCCTACATTGTAAGTCTATACCTGATTCAAAGTTGGGCAGAGATGCTTTGATCATCATGAGAGCCGTTAGACTTTTATCCATCTTGATACTGACAGTAGGAAAAGCCTTGAGGAACTTCTTCTTGTCCGTCTCCTTCAGCAGTTCCTTCAACTGCCCCATTGTCTATGCCAAGAAGAGAGAAGTGAAAATCTTGGAGCATTAAGAAATTGAATGCTATGGTAACACGAGCATAGACTTCATATCCCAATATGCACGTGAAAGTTCTTTACAGGTTCTTCCTATAATGGGTACATGTGTATTCCCCATTTTGTACCCAGTGAAGTCATTCATGAATTCAACAATATCTTGGAACCCTACAAATACTGATTGCTTTTTACTCTACATTTATATTTGGAAGTCAATGAATACCTCTAGCTCTTTACCTTATAACTGATAATTCTGCCAAAAGAATTTCAGGAGCATAGGCAGATGATATTCTGAATTTGATTTTTTGTTAAAGTGCTGTCAGGTAAAAGTTTCAAACAAGATTTTGGGTGCATATTGTAATCTTACCTCTTCAGAAATATATCTCACATGCTGTATTATTTCTCGTTCATTGAATTCAAGTTCAGCTTTTCTCTGCTCGAGAATCTTTTTCATCTCCGGCAGAATGTGTTTTTTCCTTGATGACGACATGATGGCTATCAGGTCAGGGCTTATCTTGTATCATCATAAAAGCTCCCTCTGTTGTTATAAAAAAAAGTTAATAAGAATGAAACGAAATGAAATGAATCATGATCTATAATGAATTATTACCTAGTCTACATGTGCATGACTACATGTATATGAGGTAATTTTACCATGCAATTAAAATACCTATTTTGCAAAGTTTCTGGTTTCTCCACTGACTTTGTGTACACAAAATGCTGTAAATATATATTGAGCACAATATTGGCCCCTTTTAACATCTGGGACCTTTCTTTCAAGCATCTGAATTGCCACAGCACGGTAGCAACTAGGGTATACCGGTAGTAACCATACCGTACCCGAATTCCTGATCCACAAAAATAGGTAAGAAATTATCATTTAGGAGATAGTCTAGTCTAGTTGGCTTACATCGAAAGGGTGCGGTACCGTGCGGCGCGGTGAGGTGAGTTCAATGCACCCATTCGAGAAAAGCCGTCTTAACACACTCTTTCGGGATAAGCGGGGGGTCTTTTTTCGAAAGGGTGCGTTTTTATCCCGAAAGGGTGTGTCGACTAGTCTTTCACATCAGTCGTTTAAAATTGTTTAAGGAATAGAAATGTTGTTTTATAAATTGAAATAATCAAAATTGAACTACTTTTTACGTAGTCTTGCAGATCAGGCGAAAATGGGCACCGATCAGATTTTAAAGGGGTATTTATCGGAGGTGAAGGAGGCCGAGGTAGGCCTACTTATCTGAAGTGAAAAGGAGTAACGCCTCCGTCGCCTCGAAACCTGAAAAGGGTCATTTACCAGAGAAGGGGCACTTATGAGAAGGGGATCAAGGGGCTCTGTTTTTAATGGGTGCGTTGAACTCACCACACCGCGCCACAACGCTTGCTTTCGATGTAAGCCAGTCTAGTTAATGTTCAAAATCAAAGTTATTTTGGGTCAATACTGGTAATACTGGAAGAAGAAGAGCAGGTAAATTGGCTATGATATTATTTCGGTGTCAATTTCATGGCAAATTCTCTGCTCCTCTAATATTAAACACAACTTAGGGTCTACTCATGTCACTCAGTAGTAGAAATAGAATGACAAGAGTCGAGTCTATAAAAAAAACCACACACCAAATTAACATGATCTCTAATTAACATCAGCTACATCTTTTGATGAGTTTGACAGATCAACTTTAAGATAAACAATGAACGTCAGAAATATTACCCTAGCAAGTTTGGACATTTGTATAAACATCGTCACACTGACTTAGGCTACTGAATAGTGAATTAGATCAAGGCCTAAATAAATTTAAATAAATGTCCAGTGTTCACTCTCTAAAATCTACTCCTCTACTCTAGTCTCCTCTCACACACAATCGAGATTCTTGGTTAGATATTTATCTCTTTTCCTTAATACATAGTTTAGTCTTCGGTGCTTAACTTGCCATAGTCATAGAGTTCTAGTAATCTAGTATATTTACTTTGATATCAACGTAGATCTATGTACTTCAGCTCCAGTACCCGGGTGCACGATGCGGGATCGTACTCGTACTCGTGTATCACGCCAGCCGGGCCGGGTGGCTGCGCTTGCAGTACTTGATGGTCGGTGGCCGTGCAGGGAGCTGAGCTAGCTAGCCTGCTCGAGGTACGGTATCCTCGACACTTTCATCAGGTGTAAAAAGAAATAGCGAGGCTCTAATTACTCAGTTTTTTTTATAATAATTATTATTATTATTTATTCATATTGACTGATTAATTCATTCATTTCATTTTCACTTTTGCACACCAGCCAGTCAAAAATCATAAAACACCATTTTGGGCTCCAACTTGGGATGTGCAAGCAACTCAGCTGCTGACCAAGCCAAAGCCCATACAATAACAATTTGAAGATAGACCCTATTATGCCTTTTCTGCGGGGCAGTGAGCACTTTTTTGGGGGGGAGGGGGGCCTCGAAAATTTGAAAATTTGCACCCCCCTCCCCTTTGAGCGCCAGGGGGGGGGGGCATCTCCCCAAAAAGGTAAAATTAATGTGTTTTTACATAATATTTTTTCCTGGGGGGGGGGGGGGCCGGGCCCCCGGCCCCCCTGGATCCGCCACTGGTTCTTCGATCTCCTCCATCATCTTCAACATCATCATCATCTTTTCCTCTTGCTTCCTCTCATGTTCCTTCCTTATTCTATTCCTACTTCTTCCTCAACTTTTTTCCTTAATTTTTCTTCTTCATCGTTGAAACAATCTATAAAATATTTGAAAAAAGCATAGATTATCACAGCTATAGACGTATTTATAAGCCTATATGCACCGAAAATCTCTCTCTCTCTCTCTCTCTCTCTCTCTCTCTCTCTCTCTCTCTCTCTCTCTTTTTTATCTCTCCCTCTCCCTCTTTCATTTTTTCCCATTCCCTCTTTATCTATGTTTCCTAATTTTTAATAATACTTTTTCCCTTTTGAAAATGTTCTTCTACATCTACATCTAAGGTGGCACTGGACAGGACCAATTGGTATATACGTCCAGATTTCCGTGGCATCGTAAACTGTCAACAAACATCACAACTGAGGGTGCAGAGTTAAAAAATCAAAATAAAAAGGTGCTCATTAAAATACAGTGGGTTGCAGACATCATCTGATGTTTAGATGAAATAGAGCCACATCGACGCTCTTCAAAGCAATTACTCTTCTTTCTAATATCATAGGCATGCAGATCCAAGGATAAGTTATGATGAATGATTACTATGAGAAGGGAAGAAGGAAACGAAGAAGAAGGGAGGGAGGAAAAAAAAGAAGGAAGGAAGCTATAGAAGGAAGGAAGTCAATCATGCAGCTGCGCAGCAGACGACAGCATTGAAATAAATGTTGTTCAGGCCCTCTACGACAAAGCCTTGTTAAGGCGATAACATGTTGCGTAATCTCCGTAGATTCTACCATACAAATATGCTGAACTGCATGCGAATTTTTGTGATCTGATGCCCAGAATAAAACTCGGTAATAACTAATGACTAATGATTGTTATTTTGAAGTAACCTTGATCCCATATTTGAGTTATTATTGTTCATTTCTGAGCTGGTGGTGGTTTGCTTTCGTTAATATTAATAATGAATAATGTTTGAGATGATGCCTGCGCTTGGGCCCTAACTGGCCGCTGACGCTGGCGCCTGGCCTAGTCCGGTCGTGATGCCTCGGACTCACAGTCACAGTGCGTTGCGTTGTTTTTCCCCGTCGCGCATTCGGTGATTCCAATTCACGTGTGCGAGTACACATACATGTACTGATGTAGCTGCATTACGCATTAGTATTGACTCTCTATGCTTTGCTGGAGTGGTACTAGATCTACTCTAGTTAACTCCAGAGCCTGCACATTTTATTGAAAAGTAAGGAAGTAAGTCTAGATCTAGATCTAGATCTAGTAAAGTAATTACAATTTGACTAACAATGTTTTTCAAATCCTCAGCTCAGCTCTGGGCATCCGTTCAACCACTTGAAATTATAATAGAAGTCTTTGAAGTTTGATGGGAAAAAGGGTGATTCGTCGTCCTATTCATCCCATGTTATATGTCGTTGATTCAACATGGCAATGAGGAAATACGCATGTGCAGCACATATCGCGCATTTGAACTTAGTCTATCTTCGCCATGTTAAATCGACAGTACCAGATTATCAACCTAAATTTCAAAATTTTGCGAGTGAGTGAAGCAATTGAACAAAAATGACACTTAAACTCTTAATTCAGCGGCAGATCCAGGATTTCCCAAGGGGAGGGAGGGAGGGAGGGGGGATCAAAGCCAACAGCGCATAAAATGTGAGCTTTTCTGTGTGTGCATGGTCCAGGGCCAGAGCCCAAGATGTTTTTGAAATTTAGCAATTCAGAACCTTCAAGATAACCATCTTGAAACACACTCTTACCTTTAAAGTACAAGTTCATACAACAGATGATTGTCTTGGGAAATACTTCTATCTTTATGGATGGGGTCCAGGAGGCGGAGCACCGAGAAGCTCTCACATTTTTGCAATTTAGAACATCAAGATAGCCCTCTTGGGTGATAAAAACTCTAATCCATCCCTTGAAATTTAAATTGCACTGCCCCTATTGCTAAAGTTTGTTGGAAATCATTTCTCTTTCTCACAAATTCTCTCCTGAGGACAATTTTATAGAACAAAGGTTTGTTCAGGCTGCATTAAATAATCATGCTTCCTAAACACAAGCAATCTGTTTTGTTTGTTGATGCATCACATTGCATTACAAAGTCATTTAGATTACCCATAGCCATACATGTACATGTACAGTGTATGTATATAATGCTTCACATTTATATATTTTTTCAACCAGCATTATATCAATTTCAAACACATACAAACATTTTACTATTGAGCATGTCTAATATATTATATTCCGAAAATGTGCTAATGTTAATTTGGCATAAGAATTAGGCTAATAAGAATGCATTCATATTATATTCATAAGATCTCATGAGAAAGCTGTGTACAATTAACAACCTTATTTCATTTTTGTTTTTACTGTAAATATGACAATATGAGTCTGCAGACATATGCCATATTCTTTTTTTACAATAAAAACTAAATTGAATCAAATTCTAATTTTCAATTTGTCTTTAACAGCCTTGGGAGATTTTTGTGCATGGACACCTGTCTTGTCTTTGCAATAGACCAGCTTCAGTGGTATGCTACATTGTAGATAGCACACATTGATGATGTCAGGACAAGATGGCCAGAAGAAAGAGGGAAAGAGGCCGGTACTCGACCCCAATTCCCTGAAACCATGGCATCAAATGGTTGCCTCTGGCAGTGGTGCTCTCATCACTGCTATTACAAGTAAGATTTTCCTTTATGGGACAGTATACATTCTAACTAGCATATTACCCCCAAAAATGCTTCTATTCACAGATTATCAACAAGTTGCTTTATGATCAATTAAGGTCAGGCATTAGTAATTACTAATTACATAATAATGACACTTTGAGAATTCAGTTTGCATTTTTATTGTTGTTTTGAAATGTCACTGTGAATTGGCAAATATGCCAGATTGAGTGGATCTCTCTATTGCCTGGTGAGAATTAGACCAGGGTTTCAAGATCAGGAACATACCAGGGTGAGAATGGAGAAAACTATAGGAGAAAAAACCCTGTTGCTCCATTATAAGCCTTCTTAATACATGCTCTTATTCCGCTAGGTTTGTTACAGGAACCACCTAGTTCCCTTAGAGAATTGACTGATATTTATCTTTATTCTTCCAGTTAAAAGTGAATAATCCACAAACAATTACAATCACGTTTGAAAATTAAAAAAAGACCCCAGAAGAGTATATATATCAAAAAGAACATATCAAATTGATTTAATCATAAATCATCGGCGTCAATGCATCACAATCTTGTTCCCATCCCTATAATGTTAAGCTTCTTTTGCATTACTACATTATAAATGCAGGTTTAAATATACTGAATATAGAGTAAATTGCATCTGTGCAAGTGTGCATAAAGGACTAAGACATCTCATGAATATGCACTAACAATCATTCACTGTCATATGAAATGAAAGAGTCACTAGAATTGCAACTTTTAAAAATTATTAATACCTTCTGGCAAAGTTCATTTTGATGCCTATGCTTTGAGGGGTAGCTCACTTGCTTGATAAGTGCGTTACATTTGAATAATTCTTCATCTCTCACAGTGACCCCACTTGATGTAGTGAAGATAAGACTACAAGCTCAGGCAAAACCTATGAAGAGTGGTAAGTCACTAAACCTTCATTTCACATCTGTGCCCTAGGAACTATGAAAGCCCCACAGGCCACTGTCCTACTTGTAGCTACTTGCTCCCTCTATATAGAAAACTTCCCCAATCGGTGCCTGTTGGTCCCCCATGATCCTCTTTTTCTTATGTTAGTTGAGAGCTGAGTTAATGAGATAGCCACCTGTCAGTGACCTCGCTGTGTGATCTAATTCCTTCTGGCCCAGTAGTATTGACGGTCTTTAAAGTAGTGTGTGCCTCAGTTTTTCAATTAAAACAGAGAAATTAAAGCTGAAACACATTTCTCATTAAGTAGTTAGAAGTAAACTTTATAGCTTGTGTCAAGCTAATAGTGTAATGCATTAGAATCTTACTCGTGATATTTTTCTCTACAATTTAATGAAATGATGGAATTCATTATATATCTTTCTACTTTCTTTTGTTTATTATAGATCTTTGAACTTTCCTGAAATGTAGCATGTCATTGGGGGCCCTTTTAAAAAAAATTAGTGTTCAATTGCCTCACATGATATCCATTCTGAAAGAAATGTCTCTTTTACATTGTATAAAATGAAATATGAGGAGTTTGGTTTAAAGAAAATTCATTAAGGAATAAGTCTTGATTCCTGTGCAAAATCTATTTTTGTTATGTTGCAAGAGTTTTTTTTTTTTTTGTCACAGGAAACTGTTTTGGCAGATTTAGAAGTGATGGATTTAGGTGTGAGATCACTTTCCTTTCTTATCAAATACATATCCTAATGTTGATGAACTGCTCTGTCTCTCTTAGGTCAGTGCTTTTTCTACTGTAATGGTCTTATGGACCACATGTGTCACTGTCTAAATGGCTCAAAACCAGGGACAACTGCTCCGTGGTACAAGGCACCCAGCAAGTTTAATGGAACATTGGTATGTCCAAGATAGGTTGTCACTTGGGTAATGTAATCACATTTACGCAAATGATAATAAAAAAATAATTTAAAATTGAGTCATTTTATATGTTGGAACAGATGGCAAAGTAGTCGAGCACTACATCACATTGAAATTACCACTCTAGCCAATTTGAAGTGCCCATTCATATAGTGATTACAACTTTAAAAAATTCATAACTTTCTTATATTTAGTCAGATTTAATTAAAACTCTCATCAGTTTGCTTCTCTGAGTTTAGAGTTCTTATTCATTTGGGTTGGATTTCCCTTTAAAACAGATTATAATTTTCATCATTACATGTAGCTGATTAACTCATCTGGTGGTATTTATCAGCAAGTATTAATATGGGTGTCAAAGTTGAACTTTTGAGAATGAAAATTGTTATTTTGATAGTCATTACTTTCCAGCATTTGTAATTTTTGGTGGCTTGATGCACAATCATAGATTAACTCATCATTTTTAATTTTTTTATTTTTACAGGACGCATTTGTGAAGATAGCAAGAAATGAAGGGGTTTTCAAGTTGTGGAGTGGTCTCTCTCCCACTCTGTAAGTTCAACTTGTCTTTACTGTATTTAGTAGAATCATCCTAATGTATTCAATGTGTTCAATGTATTCAATGAACTATACAGCATTGTATTTTTTCCCCTGTTAAATATCATCTGCGATCTGGTGTTGACTTGTCTCTTTCTATCTTTTCTTCACTACCCACCTTTTCTGCCTACCTACCTTTGGTCCTCTTCTACTCTCTCGCTCTGTCGACATCCCTATCAAACAAAACTTATTTTATGTAACATACCCAACTACAGCTGTTATGAATGCAGTTTACGATTACTGTAGCACTGTCTATGATTATTAAGTTTACGATTTTTTCTTTTTGTAAATTGATCTGTAAACTTTTACCAGTGAAAAACAAATTTCTGAATGTACAATAAATACTTAAATACAAATAAAAAAATATACATATTTAAGGTAATACTTTTTTGGCTAGTATTTTCCTTTCTTGCCGTAGTTTGATGGCGCTACCTGCAACTATCCTCTACTACACCTCCTATGACCAGTTAAAGTATCGTCTTGACTACAAGCAGGGAGTCAAAGGAGAATTCTGGAAACCCATGCTGGCAGGGGGCGGTGCAAGATGTAAGTCTGTCACTAAGAGATATTTGCCTTTTTTATGTTGCAGATGAGTGTCTTCTACATTTTGCTTGTTTTGTTTTTTGTGTATTTTTATGAGATACTATCGTTATAGCAACCAAGCGGATAATGTTAATAAAACCATATTAGTTGTTTAAATCAAGTATTGTTAGCTAATACAGTGATAATTACAGTGTTATTGATATAGATTTATTGTATCTCAATCAACGATTTCATTCGTTATTGTGGGATATATTTTATTCAGTCATTCTAAGAACCTTGGGTGAATTGACAAAATAGATAGCATTTTAGTGACTAGTGAATAGTTAGATTTCCAATATTGAATCTCCCTTTGCCTTTTTCTTAGTTATCACACATATTTCTATAAAAGGCATTTTGCAGATAGCAAGTCTTGAAACATTCAGTGTAGTTTCCTGTAATTCTGTGAGAATTCTTTCTTCATTATTGCAATTGACAGAATTTAAGATTACTGTACAATTAGCAATTGCAGTTACTGCATTGACTATCCACTCCCTTGTTTCATCATCACAGTATTTGCATGCACAGTGATTGCCCCGCTTGAGCTTATACGCACCAAGATGCAGTCCCGTCCTTTCACCTACGCAGAGATGATAGGGTGTGTCCGCACGGCTGTCTCAGAAGAGGGCATCATGTCTCTATGGAGGGGATGGAGCCCCATGGTCTGGAGAGATGTGCCTTTCTCAGGTTAGCAAAGAAGATTTTAAGGGTTCAGTGACACAAAGATGTAACTTCATATTTTGCCAAAATGAGTATTTGATAGCAAAATGTTCAGAAAAATGTGGGCTTAACTCCACCCAACACCCCATTTAAAGTCAATGGTGAGTGAAACATAGACTTAACTTCTTAAGGCCCAAGTGCTCGGTGACACATAAACACTTTTTCTCAAAATGGAGTTACGTCTTTGTGTCACTGACCCCTCAATTTTTTGTATTGGTAGTGTATGCAAATTAACAAAATATTATAGTTCCCAATGTCTTCATTATTAAAGGAATGTAATGCAATCTGCCTGTAGATTGACCAATATTTTGTGAAGAACCTTTTTATTTGAAATTTGGAAGACGAAATAAGCCCAGTTGTATAGAGTTTTTATATGATATCAAGGACACAAGTCACACAAACCGCAATTTGCGGTATAGAAATATCTTATTATTATTATTATAATCTAACTCAATGAATATGTCGGTGATAACATGCCGTCAATCCATACTAAGAGAAGTGGCTTTCAAAACTAAATGGGGGAGGGGGGAGGGAGTATAGCTTATTGTACTGTGAAACTACCTTAAAGTGGAGATGGAAGTGTGATCTTCAATGGCATATATTCAAATTTAACGTTGAGAGTGAAGATTAAAGAGTTGTTTTCAAGAACAAAACTGAACTCAAATGGAGGAAAAAGAAATAATGAATGGACAGAACTGTACAAAATTTACTTCTGTGTACACAATCACTTCATAATGTCTACAATATATATCAATCCCCTGTCTCTTTCTCTTTATTTGTAGTTATATTATGGCTGAACTATGAACCTCTGAAGGCAAGAATATGTAAAGAATATGGTCTCACAACTCCAACATTTCCCATAGCATTCTTCTCAGGAGCTTTTGCTGGCACAGTAAGTATTAGTAACTAGTAATTGATATTATAATGCTATTAACAAGTATTCTCTAAAGAAGATTATTCAATAATCCTGAAAAGATATGAAGGATTATATATAGGGATCAAATGTATCAAATCTAAAATGTCTCTACCACTGAAGTTGATGCAGTTTACTGGGTCTCATGTTGTGTTCAGTCGCAGGTGGAATGTGTAAGACAATTGATTCAGTTTTCACCAGTTTTTTACCATGATAAAATGATTCATTGTCATGAACGTAAAATATTGAATGCCAGATAATATGCCAGGGATTTTTCTACTACATGGTCACCGTGAGTGCATATGGCAATTACTATAAACTAAAAGGCTTTCGTCATCCTACCAGTTCCCCATTTCTCTCCTGGGTATGGAGTGGCAAATACAATTAGATTAATACCTTACCTAAAGATATTATGAAGGAGTTTTACATACTGTTCCCACTAGATCTTGGGCAGACCCATGTGACCTGTTCCAATTTGTACATGTATTTCTGCTTTTCAAATGTTACCAGTTATGTGTGTTCTTTTTATATGAAATGCTCATTTTTTTATGTTTTGGAGACATATTTGCTTTGATTGCTGTATAAATGTTGTTGTAGGTGGCAGGAGTCCTGACACAGCCCTTTGATGTATTAAAGACACACAGACAGCTAGAGATGGGGGAGATTGGAGACATGAGAAGTAAGTGAACATGGCATGAACCAAATGTGGATCAAGTATTTATAATCCAGAAGTGAATATATTTCTACTGAAAATTTTGTCGTGAAATCAAGGTGGTCATTAAACACTGCTCGCATGCACTGCAAGACAGCAATAAAAGAAAACTGAACTTTGCAAAAAAAATGAAATATATGTATTGACATGCAAGTAGGCTTGGAAGCGAGCGCCGAGTACCCGGTTCTACCCGATTCTGAAATCCAGAACCGAGGAGTCGACTCCAATCTCTAGAGAGTCGATTACCCGAGCACGTCGGTTCCGAGACTCCCAGACCCGATTCTTCGGCGCTGGAGTCGATTCCACAGCACCGAGAATGAGAGCCAACTCTCTGAAAGCAGAATATGCAATGCGATCTTTGAGAGCACTGATACACACATTTGTGTGTCAGAGTAAAACGTGTGTGCATGTGGTCGGCAATACTGCTGTGTGTTGTCTGTAACTCTGCAAGTCATCTGCCCTCCCCCCCCCATCCTTTTTTTTCTCTCGTGAGCTAACTGATTTATGAGATTTTTGTGTTTACTCTTTCTATCTCGCCTTGTCTCCCCCTTCCACTAGACATCGTTTAGTTTTCTTCCCCCAAATAAACATAAGTTACAGTGTCCTCCTTTCTCTATATCTCTTGAATTCTCCTCATCAGGTTTCTTTTCATTCTTTCTTTTCTTCTTAAAGAATAAGTTTGACAGGTCTACATCTACTTCTCCCTCTCGCATTCTCGTTGTTATCAATTATCTTTGTTTCCAAAACATTTGCTGCATTATGTTGCCTCGTCTACTTCCCAGGAACAAATTATTTATTTATGTAATTCAACACTACCCCAGGATTACAAACAATATCGACTAGTCTTCTTGATAAGACCTGCTTGTAAATGTGTAAATATTATTTGTCGACTCTGACGACATTTCCTTTCTAAAACGTATATTTAACTGTTCTTAGTAATTATTGAAGTATCAGCATTAATCAAGTGATATTTCATCATTCATGTCAGACACAAACATGAGTTTTATTAGTCGTTATGAAGTGACAACAACAACATTGAAAAATATTGTTTTGGCATTAGCGCAATCTCTAACAGAGGCTGAAAATGCAGACTAGTATTCCCCATACCAAGATCTAGCGCGCACCCTTATCTCTTGTTTATTTCTATTGTGTGAGAGAAAGCACATGGTTGTAACTATGGGAACATGACAACTTCTTAATCTGATAATGATTAATGGATTGTTTACCATAATACATATAGTGGAAATTATTGTTCTGCATTTCTTACGTTTTAAAATTGCAATTATTGCAATTAGAATTTAAGACATGCTTTTTTTTTGGTTTATATTTTTGCCAGGAGTTATTGATTTATTACTTTTTCAGCAGTGGTCATGTTTTTAAAATTTCGATTTGAATAAAAGTAGTAAAATAAATCATTTTATAACTGTTTATAAAGCTTGGTCTGCACTTTGATCTTCTTTTTTGTAAACTTGGAGGTTCTGTCAAGCTGTCTCACCCTGGATTTATCACCATTCATCTCTTGTTTGCTTGTAATTGTAGAGATATCATGAGACAAATCAGAAATAAACACAACACCAATTTACACTCACATACATTCATACTTTGTTTAAGACGACACACAGCGCCAACAGTACCACTGCTGTCGGAACCGAGAGAGCTAGCTTAGCTCACTTCGACCAGGGACATCCCTGCTTTGATATTGCTCTGTTTCCATCATTATTGCCGCGATATGTGTATACTTTTCGTGAATAGAGGTATGAAATCAAAGCTTGAATTGTGATTATTCTAGCCATGTATATTTAATTTTGATAATCATTTTTAAAGTAAAGTTTTCACAAGAAAATCAGATAGTTGTCGTGATAATTGCACGCTGCCCTCGTTACTATCAATGCATCCCATACACTCGATTCTGTGTGGAACCGACATACACAGTCAGTACAAAGTATGTATGTGTGTACTTGTGTGTGTATGGCCTTTTAGTGCATTGCAAATCTGGCAGCCAGCGGGAGCCGAATCCGCTTGGAACCGAGGCCGAGGGTGGGAACCGAGATCGGTTCTCATCAACAAGAGAACCGCCCAAGCCTACATGCAAGCGTGCAAACTTCAAAGTTTTTTTCAGGACTTCTTTAGAAATATAGCAAGTTTTTCCTACAAATTCCGAGGACATTATTATGATACCATTAGCTTTGATTTCAAATAGTTATTTATTAAAGTGACCTAATGTAAGTCATACAAACTGTAGACAATGTCGTTGTAAAACAGTTTATGGTTAAAATCAATTATCGTAAATAGATTTTTGATGCAATTAGCTGAGATATTGAAAACTTCCATTTTGAGATGATCTTGTAAATAAAAGATTATTTCAATTGCACCTCATTTCTTCTGCTCTTCTTTTGAATGGACTTCTGTATGTTTCTTGTTGACACGATATGTTCGGTTTAATTTGTTGTTTAAGGATCAAAAGAAGTGTCAAGTAGCACCTTAAACATCATGAAGAGGTTATATGCTGCAAAGGGACTGAATGGCTTATATGCAGGTAAGTCACACTCATTTATACAATCAGGGAGCTAACCTACATCTTTATAGTCCCATCTGATGGACTTTGTTATTAAAAGGGAAGTTCACTTTAATATTAAATTGGGTTTAATAGAGGCAGAAAAATGAGACAAACAAGTCTGTGAAAGTTTGAGCAAAAATCATACATGTTCTAGTTTCATAAAAAGATGGTCACAAATTCTTGAAAGAACTTCAGAAATCAATAATTTTCCATTTCTTATTGGATTTTGCTTTAAACTTTCACTAATTTGTTTCTCTCATTGTTGTGCTTTTATTAAAACAAACTGTATATCAGGGTGGATTTAAGGATGAATGCTGTACAAAAGGGCACTTAAGTTTACTTTTTATGCCTCCGCCACCGAAGGTGGTGCCGGAGGCATCATGTTTTCGGGTTGTCCGTCCGTACGTCCGTCCATACGTCCGTCCCGTTTGACCGTTATCACAATATCTCAAGAACCATTTAAGATTTAAACTTAAGACTGGGGAATAGTATTTATCACCATAGGAAGACGATCTTATTAGATTTTGGAGTACGTAGGTCAAAGGTCACAGGTCACAGAGGTCAACTTATGAAATTCCTTGTATTGAGTTTGTTAGCGCGATATCTCAAGAACCATTTGAGATTTAAACTTCAAACTTAAGGATAGTATGTATCACCTTAGGAAGATGATCTGATTAGATTTTGGAGCACGTATGTCAAAGGTCAAGGGTCACAGAGGTCAACTTATGAAATTCCATACATTGAGATTGTTATGATATCTCAAGAACCACTGGAGATTTAAACTTCAAACTTAGTGATAGTGTGTATCACTATAGGAAAACAATCTGATTACATTTTGGAGCACGTAGGTCAAAGGTCAAGGGTCATAGAGGTCAACTTATGAAATTCCATACATTGAGATTGTTATCATGATATCTCAAGAACCACTGGAGATGTAAAAACTTCAAACTTAAGGATAGTATGTATCACCATAGGAAGACGATCTGATTAGATTTTGGAGCACGTAGGTCAAAGGTCAAGGGTCACAGAGGTCAACTTATGAAATTCCATACATTGAGATTGTTATCATAATATCTCAAGAACCACTGGAGATTTAAACTTCAAACTTAATGATAGTGTGTATCACCATAGGAAGACAATCTGATTAGATTTTGGAGCACGTAGGTCAAAGGTCAAGGGTCACAGAGGTCAACTTATGAAATTCCATACATTGAGATTGTTATCATGATATCTCAAGAACCACTGGAGATTTAAACTCCAAACTTGTTTAAATTGCTCTATGGCGGAGGCATCATTTTCGACTGCACGCAGTCAAAATTCCATCTAGTTTATAATGCAGGATCTTCCAGTTAATAAGAGCCTTCTATCATGCCTCCTTCCTTAGGGACGGATTTTGTTTTCTTCATAATTAAACATTTTAAGTTTATAACATCTTTTATAATTGTATTGAAAGATAACAAAATAAAAATAAAACAGAAAAGATATAAATTTGCTTTAAAAGATACATTATTTTTGCCTGGGTCCACTCTTTGTGTTTATACCTGCTATGGCAATACCTCTTGTATTTTCTCTGTTGACATAAATTGGTACATGTATGTCCTTCTCCATTATTTAATTCTTTTGCTTTTACAATATTTCCTCTTGCCCCTGTCTATAAGACACTTTCATTTTCATTAAACACGCATCTTTTGTTCTCTGGTTCAGTTTTTAAAGATCAACAGTAATGTATTGGCGGTCATTTCATTCCAATGTAAACACTAGACACATGTCAGTTCCTCTGCTATGTCTTCACTCTATTTTGCAGGTACTTTACCCAGACTCTTCAAGATAACCCCAGCTTGTGCCATCATGATCGGCTCCTATGAGTTGGGTAAATCAGTCTTCCTCGCTGACGTCAAATGAGAAGAGTACCGGACCTGTTTCACAAAGCATTTTTTCAATGACAAATGACAAGTATCAGTGACAAATCTGCTGATAACCAATCAGAAGCAAGGATTTCAGTAGCTTATAACAACAACTGTCATTTTTCACTAATGCAAGTTTTGTGAAACACCCCCTGGTAGACACTCCTATTCATTCTCAAAGATGTCATATCTCCAGATAGCTTCTAGCATCTGATATCACTTGATATCGTCTGAATCACGGTGCCTTATCAGACGAGCGTCTGACTTAACCATGCTGATGGCAGACATTAATGTGGTGCAGATATTATTTTCATTTCTCTTTCTTTAAAAAATGATGTACTCTTTGGGGTAAATGCTTATCTTTGTTTGAACATTAAAGATCATAACCTGCAAATGATCATTAATTCTTTATGATTTTTTTCAAAATGTACTCAGGATGTGATTTGGTCACGAGAGTGGTTCCCAGCATTCTTTTTTAATCCACTGTTTTAAGCATGTTACAGGTCACACTGACACACTGCTCATAAGTGGGTCTATTTTAAGTTTTAACTATTAAATTGTAATATTATGATGCAGAGAATGTTTGTATTTTATTGATAGATAATACTCCCTGCTTGGACAAAAATCTGCTTGGACAAAAACTGCTTATGGTTGATAATATTAAAAAAAAAATTTGCTCATATATTTTGTCATTTAGTTTGTTTTGTGTGTGCATGTGCATGATTTTAATCTAATGCATATGCACAATGAGCATTTGATTATATTTCCTAAAAGTGTATTTAGTTTTGCTTTATAAGTTCATCGGTTATTCAAGCAAAGCTATTTTGTTTGTGTGTCTATCATTTCTTATTCCATGCATGTGTTTACAGTGATGAAGATTATTTTCATGGGAAATTGACCCGAGGCTGTGGATTTATTTTCTAAATCTCCATTTATAAGGAGCCAATGAGCGTCTGTAAGAAGAGCATGGATTGTATATTGGTGAAAGATATCTACAGATATGTATTCACACCAATTTGGAGGATAAAAAGTGTAACACTTTATTTCTTTTTAGTTGTCATTTGTTTGTATTTTTATGCATTTAATATCGACCTATGTGGGTTTGACTTAAATTGAGATTATATCCCAAATTGACTCAGTAATTAAGGAGAGGAATATGCACTGATTTACTGTGTTTTAAATAGAGATGGTCACATGTTGTTCAAAGAACTTATTTGATGAAATCATCTTCTGGAACCAGAAGGGCATTAAATCCTTTAAATCCTTCAAATATTGATTTAATGCTGTTAAACCATTGACTTCTCTATTTTTAATTGTTTTCCTCCCTCTTTGGGCTGATATTTCTCATTTGTGAATGCTGTAATATTTTTTATTCATTAAACATTTTCTTTTCTAAAAAAAAGGTAAAAAAAAAAAACTTTTTTAAAAAGTCGACCGTAGATTTCAAGATTTTTGGGTCGCAAAGGGCAATACAACATCTTTTCTCTTTTACACCCAATGGTGATCAACTCTAGAAATGATGTTGAATCTCATGTTTTGTAGTTGCAGTGGAGATTCATCAACTCTCTCTCTCTCTCTATTTCTCTCCCTCTCCCTCTCTCCCTTTAAGAATTCTCATATTGAATATTTTAATTTCTGGGATACCGGCTCATGAAATGTGCTGATGTGCTATGTTTTGTAATCTTTAAATTCTGTCTGTCTTTAAATTAAATGTGTGTATAAAGGATCAAAATGCTTTGTCAGATTCTACATTTGAAATTCAGCCCTTACTGTTGGCACTTCATCTTGGCAGTTGCCTGTTTTTTTTTTTTTTAAAGTACCAGATTTCTCATTGACAGATGAATTTGATGCAACGTAATGATTTCATATTGTTTATTGGTCATATATTTGTGGTGGTGTTCCTCTCGGTATAATGAGAGAGGTGTTATTAAAAAAAATGAACGATGATTTGACCCCACATTTTCTTGGAATTGTTGCAGTTCTGGTAGTATATACATGTATTTGGACCCAACCTTGGAGCACAGACTACCTCTCATTGGCTGTATGTCAAATTTGATGACAATGCAATGGTTCTATTAATAGTCTCATGAATTATAGAGATTAGTGAATGGCAATAAAACATTAAATTATTTACTTGTCATTGGTAAAATGATAAAATGAGAGTACAGAAGTAAAATGCATCTTTGTGTAGTGATATATTATATCACTATACATTCAATACTGAAGCATATGCATGTCCATGAACTTAAGTTGAAGAATCCATCCACCAAAAATAAGCATGTCACCCATAAATGCCATATCACAATTTTATAGTTCTTGCCTTCTTTTAAATTTGCAGGTATGGCAAGTATTTAAAAAGAAACAAGTTGTGTCTGTAGATTAAGGAGGATAATAACAAAATTGATGGAAATGTGTTTGTTCAGAAATGACTGATATTTCATTGTACTCTATTTTAAATCATGTTTTTGTATACTTTATGTTCTGCCTGGTCCATGCATTTATATTGAGAATATGTACAGATATTGTAAATTACAGATATTGTATGCCCAGGCAGGGACTTGGCAACAATGTTGTATGTAAATGATCGTATTTAAAATCATTGATCACCACTATTTGTGGGAATTAAAAAAAAATCATTATTGTACTTCCTATTCAGATGTATTTTGTGTCATTTGTTTGTTTTGATAGTTTTAATGATACAATTACTCCCACCAAAAAATACTTCCTCATGTATCCCCCAGTAATTGGGTAACAGTTGTAAAGATTATCTGGAAATTATAATTTTAGTATGGCAGAATGTTGCCTCTGCTAAATTACTTGTTGAGTTGTGTATACATAAATTTAGGACTCGCTGACTCGGTCGTCAACTCAGTTGGGGATGAGGAGAAGGGAAGGAGGGATGGAGTAGGATGTCGATAATGAGCTTCTTTTATAAGTCTAGAGAAGAGCCTCCTACAGTTGGTCGTCATTTTCTTTGATCCCTGTCCTGAAAAAGTGAATATCCTAATACCAATGATTGAATGAAGGAATTCAGAGAGGAAAATAAGGAAAAAGGTCAGAGAATGATTTTAAAATGTAAACGGCCATCACAACGCCGTCATTCACGACTCGGTCATTGCCCACATTTAGGCCAAAAAAGCGAAACATTTCAATTTGCAATATCATGTTACAAAGTGAAATGTCTATATAGCTTAATAAAACAGAACAGAAGTAACCAGAAAGTGAGGAGGTAGAATAGTTAACAATGCAAGAGCCTTCTTCAAATGCATTTGAATTGGTTTCGGAGCATCTCCATGAAAATCATATCAAACTCAATTCCGGAATACCAATTCTACTGAAAAGAATCAACCATATTCTTGGGTAGGAAGTTTGGAAGGAACTCAGAGAATGTTGAAAGATGAACAGAGATTTCTGTCACGTTGGTAAAATGTGATAAAGTGCGATATTCTGTATAGGCCTATTCTTTATAGGGGCATTTCTTTTACCATTAATAATGACACTAAACATGGCTCTAACTAGATCTAAGCCTGTTTCATAAAACTTGTTATCAAATGCTAAATTTCTGATTGCTCTCAGCCAATCGGATGTCTTGATTTCAGTAGCTTATAACAGTTATTGCAACTTGTTACTGGTAACAAGTTTTATGAAACGGGGCTCAGATTCATTTTTTGAAACTGATCACCTATTTTGTAAGAATAAGAAAATCATTTTCTAAGCAACCTATTTAGCACATAAGTATAGAGCAGAGAGAGAGTTCGAGAGGAAGGTAGAACTAGAAAATAGGGAGAGAGTTGGGCTATAAATGTGTATATGGTGTGGAAATCAGAGTACTTTTCAGAACTTCCCTAGCTGACTTTGAATAATATTTTAGATTCTTAAATTATCATTATTCTTTTTGGTTATCCTTTTTGGTCATCGCACTTGCCTGCTTAGCACAGCTTTTTGTTATCACAGCAATTGATTCAGGTTCGTGACTGCGGCCGGTTGGTTGTCTGAAAGTAACGGTAGCATATATTGGCACCAAGATTAACGGCGATATGAATATTCATTATTCCCTACGTCACAGACGTGCGGCGTGCGTACTCTGTCTATGGATCTGTCTTATACACAGGTACATGTACTGTACTAGTACAAGAGTACGTTCGCAAGCATTACTACATACATTGCTCCGGAATGAAGAGAATCATTATAAAGGACGAATTACTCCGTGAAGCCAAGTACAAGCAGGGAATTGAAATAGCAAACGTTCCTCGGAGCGGCTATACAATCCCTAATCTAGCTAGTTTTGTAATGACAGTTTATAGGAAAATGGACATTTAGTAGGCCTACTGTTTAGTTGTTCAATAAAATCACTCAGTTTGATTTGATTCGAGATATATCTCATTAATAAAACAGTATAAAGGCTGTATGAGTCTCGGACGAACCATCACCACTAATCTTGGTGCCAACACCGTTAATCTATGCTCCAAATTTAATAATACATTTTGTGTGCCCTATAATGACCCGGGGTTGGATTATTTAGGAGAACAGAAGATTGATATTGTTAAGTTGTTTCATAACATCTCTCAGTTTGATTTGATTCGAGATATATTTCATTAATAAAACAGTATAAAGGCTCTATGAGTCTCCAAGAACGATCGCCACTAATCTTGGTGCCAACACCGTTAAACTATGCTCCAAATTTAGTACTACCTTTTTTGTGCCCTATATGCTAAAGACCCATGCAGGGTTGGATTCTTTAGGAGAATGGAAGATTGATATTGTTGTTTCATAACATCATTCAGTTTGATTTGATTCGAGATATATCTCATTAATAAAACAGTATAAAGGCTCTATGAGTCTCACACGAACGATCGCCACTAATCTTGGTGCCAACACCGTTAATCTATGCTCCAAATTTAGTAATACATGTTGTGTGCCCTATAAAGACCCGGGGTTTGATTATTTAGGAGAATGGAAGATTGATATTGTTAAGATGTTTCATAACATCACTCAGTTTGATTTGATTCGAGATCTATCTCATTAATAAAACAGTATAAAGGCTGTATGAGTCTCACACGAACGATCGCCACTAATCTTGGTGCCAACACCGTTAATCTATGCTCCAAATTTAGTACTACCTTTTTTGTGCCCCATATGCTAAAGACCCATGCAGGGTTGGATTCTTTAGGAGAATGGAAGATTGATATTGTTGTTTCATAACATCATTCAGTTTGATTTGATTCGAGATATATCTCATTAATAAAACAGTATAAAGGCTCTACGAGTCTCACACGAACGATCGCCACTAATCTTGGTGCCAACACCGTTAATCTATGCTCCAAATTTAGTACTACCTTTTTTGTGCCCTATATGCTAAAGACCCATGCAGGGTTGGATTCTTTAGGAGAATGGAAGATTGATATTGTTGTTTCATAACATCATTCAGTTTGATTTGATTCGAGATATATCTCATTAATAAAACAGTATAAAGGCTCTATGAGTCTAGAACGAACCATCGCCACTAATCTTGGTGCCAACACCGTTAAACCATGCTCCAAATTTAGTATAACATTTTGTGTGCCCTATAAAGACCCGGGTTTGGATTATTTAGGAGAACAGAAGATTGATATTGTTAAGTTGCTTCATAACATCACTCAGTTTGATTTGATTCGAGATATATCTCATTAATAAAACAGTATA